AGTTACCGATGGCGCGGATCAATAACTGACTGCCGCCCGTTTTGTGGAATCCTACCACACGCTAGTAAGGATTTGCTTCTCTTTTCGTTCTTCAAGACCGCGTAAGATACGAATAAACCGCATGGCAAATAAGAGAGACTGGCAGATCCGGATGTTAGACCAGAACAGTCTTCTGGAATCTTTTCTAAATGCTTCATCAATTCATGCTGGGAAGGTATCGCCACCTCTTTGCACGGTGCTTGGAGTTTTGCCTGTGCCACGGCGCGACCAGGCCTACTCAATCATTGGATATCAAACAGAAAAGTGGCAGTGCTTAAGTATCGGAAATATATCCCCACCGGTCCCGAACATAACCCGTCCGGACAAACTATCAGGTGACCATGGAGTCTGGTGGACTCGGAAAGCCAAGGAAATGGAAGGGGCTCAGAAAGTCGGGAATGCCAAGAGATTATTTCAGTTGATCCGTGCGACCGGTCTACGGAAGCCACCTATGAGTGAAACCATGAAGGATCGGAACGGAGCTAATATCTTGAATAAAGAAAAACGCCGCAACCGTTGGGCTGAATACTTCGAAGAACAGTTATCGTGGTCACCAGCTTCCACTCCCCTGGAGCCCACAACCAACCCAGGACCCTGGATGGTGAACGTGGAACCCTCTACAGCCTCGGAGATTTATGACTGCTTATGTTCTCTCAAACGCAACTGAGCTCCCGATCCGAATGACTTCCCACACGCATTGTTCAAAGAAGAGGGTGAACTACTCAGTGAACGCTCAGTGACTGCGGCAACCAAATGGGGGATCAGCTTGACCCCAGTGGTACCGATACTGTTGGCGTCACTTGTGATTTGTCGCCTTATGATGGCTCGTAAAACACTAACTCATGAGCAGAAAGCAGGATTCTGGGGCTGCAGTGACCGAATCTTTACTCTCTGTCAGGCGCCAGAACAACGCCATACATACAGACGACCCACAATCTTAGTATTCGTGGATTTCCAAGGCGCATTCGACCCTGTTGAGCGGTCTGACGCCCTTGACACGCTTACCCATTAGTGAATCAACTGACTACGCACGACAGCGATGTCCTCCAGGTTGATCTCTGGAGAGAATGAAGCAAGTTCTGGTTGAAGGCTTTCTAAAAAAAGACATTTCTTGTGTATAGCATTGTTTATGCACTTCGACAGAGGAATCTTATGCTTGATCGCATTCTGAAGTAGTCACCATCTTCGCTGTCATCATACATGAATTACTGCAGAGTGCAACACACTCCGTTATTAACGTCACCAAAGTTGCGGGCTTACCCCTAATTGGTCTCGTGATGTTGTGACTGTCCGACTCTCCGCACCCGGCGGATACTGGAATTGTAAAATCTCTCCATAATAGGCATTCCCAAGGTGTTTGGCCGAAAAAAAGCTGGAACTGATGAAATGTGTAACAACCAGGTGCGATCCCTTTAGATTCACCTTGATAGAGCTATGGATTATGTGTGGGCATAACGTACCGTTTCAATTCAGTCATCAACTCTGCACACAGGTCTCCACCTGGCCCACAGTGAGATGGCCACCATCGTCGTCGACAGCATAACATCAAGGTTCAACATTGATGATTGACTGCCGTACAACCTTGATTTATTTGAAGCCTTACAGTAAAGAAAAGACTAAAATTGCACAGGGGGAGACTTAATGCTAGCTCACTACAATCAGTCCGAGGTGCCTACACATCCAGACACTCATTCATGCACTCTGGATAGAAACTGACGGCAAGAATGCCACTGACATCGGTTGGCAGTCATAGCCTGCGGTGTCTACAACCAGGTGCAGTGAGGATCAGGCGATCCTCTTCCTGGAAAGTGAGTCACGACAACAGCACCCAGACTTCGAAATCTTTCATATCCTTCTACCAGGTCAAGGGTCAGCTACCTCTCTGCTTCCGCCATTCTGAATTGGGCACCAAAAACAACCTTTTTGACAACCGATGGTTTGCTATGTACAATACACGGCATAACCAACGCAGCTTGTGGTGCTGGGAACATTCTTTAATGGAAGTCCCCGTTACACAACCGAAAAGTCACTTTCTAGTTGCCTTGTCATGGATTCGCCGGCGCCAACGCACGCGAGCTATGGTCCTGAGACAACGGTTGTTGAACCTCTGAAGATGTCGCAGCCATGTAGCAACACGTCTCGAACGGTAGCCAGATACACACGTTCCTTGAAATTTACGGGTATAACAGTTTGACGCCATGAGTGTCTCAAATTGGCAAACGCAACGCGAGCCTTACAGATTCTCGCAATGACCTTTTCTATCCTACTAAATTCAGAACTAATACAACTTCCAAAATGCGTAAAACGCTCCAAAACCTCGAGTACCTCTCCCTGGAGTGTAAGTGGCGTGTTTGGCGACTGCATGTCCAGGAGAACGACCTTACACCTAAGGTACAAAGTGCAGGACAAAATGGCGTCTAAAAACACCGGTTCCTCCTTTTCGAAGACGGAAACATTGCCGTCTGCTTATCCAGATCGACAAAGTTTTCGTCTGGTGCTATTTGAACCTCAGAGTTTTGAGGACTTTCCATCATCATTATCTCATCGATCGTAAAATTAAACAGGAATGGAGAGAGTGGGCACCCCTGAAGGACACCGCGCTGTGTATGGAAGCTTCTGAAGAGCTCTCCATATACTCATATTAGGAAGTCTGCGAATACAAACACAGCGTATGAGACCCGACTTCTTTCTAGCCTTGGGTAATCTGGTCATATCTCAGCCTTCGTGCTTCCTTCGGATGATACAGCAACTAGGCATCAAACGTATGTCACAGCTGAACGATGTGAATGCTGCAACTAGTAGGTGAGTATTTGTTTGCTAGGATCCTAATGTTTCACCTTGAAGCTAACGGCCTAGTGTCAAATTCGAATACGAATCTAAGCTGGAACGAATGAAAGATACTAGGACTCCCCAAGTAGTCGACCACTGATGTCTTAGGAGCATCGTTTAAACCAGATAAGAAGCGAGGTCATGGAATAGGGAGATGTGTTCCATATGATTAATCATTCAAGGAACTTTCAACCTTAATCGATAACTGCAGTTACAGTGGTTCCGTCACGCTTAGGATGCCAAGAGACCGAAATATACAACCAAACATTAGCACCGTCATCCTGCCCTGAGTAGCGATGCCTCTTCAGTTGTCAGCTAAAACATTATTACCACAGCATGTGTGGAGGGTTTTGGCCTACAATGGTTCATATCATTTGCAACTGAAATGAACACCGGACCTCTCCGTGTGTGAACCTGGTCTTGGACAACTGTTTTACAAAGTACCGCATCCCGTGAAATCCGCGCGAGAGATAATTCAGATGACCACCTGCAAGAAGCAGCCACAATAAAATGTAAGTACTCATCAAACTCGCAAACCAGATAGAGTTACTATTCTACATGTGCAGATGGTCACAGCAGACCGAATCAGCGGGAATAATACAACAAAAGTCTTGTCGGATCATCGATGAACCTTAAAACATTGATTCAGTGATGCAAACATAGTATGTCTGATGGTTACGACAGTGCGGAACTGGAACCGGCAGGTCACTTCGTCCCCACTGGACGTCCGAAAAATTGACAAACGGTCTTGAGCCACACCATACGATGTGCTTTTTTAAAGCAAACCCGACAACCGTGGGCGAGATAGCTCAAGTGCTTAGAGCGCGAATTTACTGACCAGAACGTCCGTGGTTCGAAGCCGACCTCTGCCTCTCGACTTCCTCTGTCTAGGCTTGGGCAACCTGGCAGTATCCCAGCCCTCGTGCTTCCTTCGGATAGGCACCGGAAGGGTGTTAAAGTTGAACGAGACGAGAAGCACTAGACGGCTGTTTCATCCTTGTCAAAAATCATTAGCAGTTCACACCTGAAAAACTCCGGAGTCTCCCGCGACCTCTCGGCTATAAGTTTAAATTTTTGACCGTTAATCGCACTGCTGATCAGCTCAACCCGTAAGACTAAATCACAATGGCGCCAGGACGGTAAGCTCGGCAGCAAAGCTCACTTTACGATGCCATTTTTCTTCTGTTTGCTTCCAAAATCTAACCGTCCTAGACAGAACTCGTTTGAAAAACGGATGATCCCCGTATACAGCTCGAACGTTTGGTATGACAGAATTTCAACTCGCCATATAACGTCACTATCGAATATCGCGCCAGTTTCATTCCTAAATCAATCGGTTGGGGTTATCGTGAAAACCGTGTACAGAAAAGCAGCACACTCAGTGTTCAAACTGGTGGAAACCTAGTCACGTGTTGTCACATCTGACGTCGAAGAGCCGGGCTGTCAAAATGTGTCTCGTAATCCAGCCGCCGATCGCCACCTGTGGCTGATCAGGAGTCGGGATGCTCAGGAAGCCGTGGTACACTTGTGGTACACACTGACTGGCAAGAGCCTATTGTTCCAGCGAGATGGACACTTCTGTGAGTGACGCGTCCTATGTACAACAATATATAACATTTAAGGTGATTGATCTAGGTTGAAGGATCTCAGGACCCCGGTTTTCTGTTTTGAGCCCCGACAGGGACTGGATTGGAAAGACTGAGTGTGATTCCAACAAAGAATGGATAAAAACCATGGAGAAAGGACTAATTCCATGAGGCATTTGCTACAATAAGTCTTGGTACGATACGCCACACAACAAACTTGTTCATGAACAGAGGAAGTTTCTGACCGTCCCTCTGACATGGACCACCCCAACGGGCTAGTACGACCTTGGAAGCTGGTCGGCCTAAAAAACCATTCAGCTGTAGCACCCTTTCGGTGCCTAGCTGCCATGCTACCCGAAGGAAGCACGATGGCTGGGATACTGTCAGGTTACCCAAGCCTAGGCAGGGGGAGTCGAGAGGCAGAGGTCGGATTCGAACCACGGACCTTCCGGTCAGTAAATTTGCGCTCTACCCACTTGGACCATCTCGCCTCGCTGCAATTTCAAAGAAGGAGGACAAAATGCAGTTTGGAAAAAAAGATGAAGACAGGAATAGAACGTAATAATATCATCATTATTCTGGGCAGCAAAATCACAAACACGATGGGGGAGAAACACAGGATGACAGGTGAATAAAATGCATGAAGTAGTAAACTGTTGTTGACGAAATTAAGAAGCGCTATTCGGCAGTTCGGATGAATACGAACAGGGTTCGTATCGTAACACACAAACACACACACACAATTTCAAAGAAGTGAGACAGCGCACGAAATTGGACAAAACAACACAAGTAGGCGAAATGTTGGCTGACTGGATCGAAAAGTTACTCGTGAAAAATGCGGCCGAGATAAAAGCCGAAAATTATAGGTGAAAGCCTGAACGGAGAGAGAGAGAGAGGGACAGGTGGGGAGGGGAGCAGCACATTGTCTTCTAGCAATGAGTGACCAATGGTCAATGATGTGGCAGCAGTGGTGGACAAAAAGACGTAAGGCAATGAGTAAAATTCATCGGGAGGTGTGATCTTAATCGAAATTGACTGAATGCAGTTTTCTGATAGGCGGTTAGAAAATCACATGAAAAAGCGGCGATCATTGGTCACGTACAAGCAGACAACACGTAGAAAAGCAAGAAAACACTTGCGAGTGATGAGGAGGTAAACTGGATAGAAAAAAGAAGGAATAAAACATCAGCGGAGCGTGAATGCGTTTCCAGAATGGACTAGATAATTGGTTCGCCAAGTTAGGTGCTCAAGTTAGATAAAGGGCGCGTGAACAGGATCATTGTTGATCTAAATGCTCCGAAGACACCCCGTGATGGGCGGTGAAAACCAATGGCTGTTGGGTTTCCGAAACGCCGGCGTTTTGTTCCGCCAGTTCTCCGGCCACACCCTCTTCGACTAACTCGGTAGTCTCTTCACTGAAATATTTTACTGGTGCAGACAACTGATCTGAGGATGGTCCCTCGCCACCTGCGTGGTGGGCATCAGCCAATCTTTGTTCATCCCCAGGTTCCATTGTGCCTCGCTCTTTTGGAAATTCTTCCAGTTCGGCACTGGCGGAGGTTTCACCTAGGAAAAAATATTGCAGTTCCCTAGTACCAAAGTGTTGTCATTCGCATTTCAAATTGCAGTCGAAAAAAGTTATGGAGAATTGCAAAGTAAACACACTTTCTTTGAAAGGCGTACGTCAGATGCGTACGAGAACATATTCAACAACGAATTAAAGGATTGTGGATGCAAGCAATAAGGCAAATCCAGGAGAGAAAATCTTTTCAGCTAACCTTGTCAAACTGAGTTCATTTTTAGAGAAATACACTCATTTGCTAATCAATTTGGTTTTCACAAAAGACTCAACTGAATCTCTCGTTTATGACATTCTTCAACTGAATGTGCTGCACACAGGCCGCCTCATGTTTCAGTTGGCAGCACATTCAATTGTCGAAAGCCCACCTGATGGGCCCCAAGAAGGGCGAAACCGGTCGTGGGTGGGCTGAGAGTTTTCACCAACCTTGTGAGTAGTTTCCTTCATGAAAATATACTGCGATATCTCGAATATTGTGCGAACTGAAACGTGAGGCGGCCTGAGTGCAGCACACTCAGTAGTAGAATATCCTAAATGAGAGATTCAGTTGAGTCTGTCGTAAAAACCAAATTGATTTGCAAATTAGTGTATTTCTCGAAAACAATCCAATCTGGGTTCAAGTAAAACATAAGGTTGACGGGAGCTCGGGGACTGCGCCTACCCGATGAGCCCCAAGCGGAAGGGCGAAACCGGTCGTGGGCTGTCGAAGAGTTTTCAGTAACCTGGTGAGTAGTTTCCTTTATGAGCTCATCTTTATTCTAAATCTTCCAAACGACCTAACGAGCAAAATTCTCAGATACAGACAGAACACCATCGTTAATACATTGCTGAATAGTTTGTAGATCACCAAAAAGTCGATGGAAGCATACTCAGAGTTAGTGAAAGATATATATGAATCATTCTGAGTAGCCCTTTATGAGTGCACGAGCATCGATGCACAGGGGATCCTTGTTGACCAATTGCTACTGTTAGTCAACCCAGACCTTCTCTATGAGATGACTGACTTCAGCCTACCCTGAAACCAACCAGCCATCAGATCTTTGATGTTGACGGACAGTTATAAGACAGAGCACGTCACCGAACAGGCCTAGCTGCCATGCTACTCGAGGGAAGCACGAGGGCTTGGATACCGCCAGGTTGCCCAAGCCTAGACAGGGGAAGTCGAGAGGCAGAGGTCAGGTTCAAACCACGAACCTTCCGATCAGTCAATTCGCGCTCTAACCGCTTGAGCAATCTCGCCTTGAGCAATCCCGCTCACCGAACAGGCAGCTCAAAATATCACCAACTTATTGGCGCCAATCAGCCTACTGATCGAATAAATCGATCGAATTGACCGAATAAAGGTCAAGTAGGTACGCAAAAGCAAATACTGCACATAGTTGTCCAGTCCGATCCTTAAATTCGGTATACTTGCTGTACAGGGATGACCGGTGTCTCTGCACCTCGATTCAGTGATTGAAAAGTCCCACATCCCGAACATTCTAGCACCAGTTTGCATTCCTGATTGGTCTCTTACAGTTTGTTCTCAACTTCTGGTGACAAGTGTGTACTCACTGACCCAACTCTAAGGACTCGAAGAGCAGTGAAACTCTCCACTCCAACAGGTCGAAAATTCTACATAGCCCTAAGCAGTCATTCATAGTGTCATTTACTTAGAAAGAGTGGATAATTGCGGCCAGTCGTTCGCAAAGAATGAATGTGGTCGCGCTCATAAAACACACACACAAGGTACGGGTACTCGGATAAGCTGCATCCTGGACGGCCAACCGGATCGAGGGTCCGCGAAACCTTCCGTTAGTAACCTGCTCCTTGGCAAGCTGAAGTAGGTAGGACGTAAGATTTATGCACCTCCGGAAAATATTTCGAGTATAAGTCCAGAAAACATGAACTTTGTGGAGCAGTCCTAGTCGGAGATAACTCCTACAGAGTTTGGAGTACAAAATACTTTGGAAGATGCACGCATGATTACAAATCAGAGTTCAAAAGTTCAAGTGAATAAAGCGGTCAAAAGTCATTCCACAGCTCAAAACAGCAACCGGTATTAATTCAAATGCTTCAAGTTGTGCCAGGTCCATATACGATCGACTATTATCAGTGAAGCCAGCCTTATCAACGAATGTCGAGTGTATGGGGTTTCTCAACTGCCTGGGGGAAAATGTTGCGAGCGAGCGCTCACCTTCAACAGAAGCAGTGGCTGGCTCTAAACCTTCATCGTGAAAATCTTCGTGGAGGAAACCGGGAGCAAAAGAATTACCAGGTTTCTCCTCTTTTTCACCCACTGCACGTCCTCCATCATCCGTTCCTGTTGTTCCATCAAAACTTGCTGTCATTGATTCACTGTCACGGACCATATCCGGACCGTCGTCTGTCGGAAGGGGTTCATGTGCGGCGTGAACGAGTAGAGGATCACCACCTTGTTGACTCGTACTGCTTGCCGGAGGTGTACCAGATTCCAAACCTTCTAATGCGACATCTTCGGCTTCTTGTTCCGGTTCATCTTGTCCGGAAGTTTCTTCGGACATTGGAAATTCTTGAGCAACTCCCGTAGTAACCTCCTGGACAACCGACTCCTCAGCACTCGAAGATGCCCCTTGTTTTTCGCTGGATGCCTTCGGTTGTGTTTTGTCTCCCACTGTCGGAGTAGCTCCATACTGGCCTACAGCCATATCTTCCATCCCAGACATGAGCGTTGTTGTCCCTGCGACTGAGGTAGACGGAGGTTAAGCAGATGTACTATGTTCCACAGGCTCACGAGGCCACTTCTCATCAATTCGTTTGGTAGCCTATGACGATTAGAAATACGGGATGGTAGTGTGTCACAAACCATTGGTCAAATCTAACTCGGAAAGAAAATATGAAAGCAGGTTTTCTGATGATCATGAAATGGCGTCTGGTAAACGAAATTGAAATAAATGCCTCTTTTAAGGGAGAGACTTGAACAGCCCATGGTAGACAGCAACACCCGATTCGTCCACAAACGTTAGAATCCCGAGCAGTTAAGTAAAGAATTCCATATAATGACAAAATAAATAAATAAACAAGATCCTCGGTGAGCTGATCCAAGGAATTAAAAAGAGGATTTTCACAGATGATGACACTCGGTAACCCACTTCTCTGTGTTCATCTTCCTCCATGACGCATTGAATATCCCGCATACAAGACTTGACCACATCGGTGCGACCAATCGCCCGGAGAGCTTTTTCAAGCTCGTTTCCTGTAAAAAAAATAAGGTGTTACAGTCGAATCTCAGTTGATCTATCAGTGAAAAATGAAATCAGAGAGTTCTACCGTCTCATGAAAAAATGAGACAGTCGAATCTCAGTTGATCTATCAGTGAAAAATGAAATCAGAGAGTTCTACCGTCTCATGATTGATTACCTGTTGCCAAGTCACCACGTTGCTCTTTCCAGGCCAACAATACGGCCAGAGCCTGGTCCCGATCGGTGCGCAACTCTGCCGCAGTCACGCCTCCAAAACCATCTGTACCATCACCACCTGCGGCTATTCGCGCTTCCTGCCAACGTGCTTCGTTCTGCGTGATCCAGTCCACCAGCTGTTCTACGGTGCATGACGGACCCAAATGAGACTCAGGTAACAGAACGCCAACAAGCTTCGGCCAGTCGGCGCCAACCTCACTCGCTACGTGTAGAAGATCGAGTTGACTGCGCGCGATTATATCCGAGGAATAGACTGAAACAGAGGAAAAATGGGGATAATAGTTTGAAAGTGCAAAGGAAAAAGGAAGAAGGTCGGTTAATACGGAAAAGACTGAAAACCGATTGGCGGATTTTATGGTTGAGTAACATCTCGTTTGTTTTTAAAGAAAAGCTTGGTCAGGCAATGAAACCAAGAGAAAATCAACAACATATGTTTACAATATAAGGTTAAATCAGTGTGAGATACTAGCTTTGTTAGTAAGCATGAGTTAGCAAGTGTTACAACCGAGGAGCTACGGGAAAACCTGAAAATTTGGATCAGGATCATAGTAAGGTCCTTCAATTTCAGAGTGTCATTTGTAATGTTTTTGTTAGGTTGTATGGCAAAGTCAATTTGAAGGAGCTTTGGTCGAGGGGGAGGGGAAGCATTAGCGTGAGTCAAAGCACGAGGGAAAGCGCTCACCAGCAGCCCATCGGCTGTCACCGACAAACCCACCATGTTCATCGGCACCGGCAGCGTCTGGATGGTACTGTGGGAAGACACAGGGTATGGACTGCATTGAAGCCGCGGCAGATGTGTTCAGTTGATCAGAGAGCGACAAGAGACCCATGTCAGCCATGGTAGAGTTGGCAGCACGTGACGCGTGAACTGATCCCAAGTTAACTTCCAGTGTGCAAATTGGACGTTGTGGCGTAGCATCTGATCGCGCTGACTCCGAAGCCTACAATTCAAAAGTAAATTTGACAGTGGCGACTCCGGATCAAAGCTCCGAACGATGGGCAGGATGTCTTGAACGTGACCATGAGGCTAAAAAACTATGAGGTTCAAGAAAACCATGCTTAAAAAAACTTATACCAAACCAACTAGCAGTGCGTCTTTGTTATCGGTCTCCTAGACAATGCACACCTTCTCCTCTACACAAAATTGGATTAATCACAAGTTGAAATGTGTTTCCCGTGAAAACGGACTTCAATCGGCCATCAGTAATCGTTGGGTGAACCTACATCAATTCACAGAATTCAAGTAACCGTCTGTATTTTTTAAGAAAAAAATCGGCCAATTGTAGTGCAAAGTACTGTAAAGGATGATTGGGGAGAGACAGTGTACAGTCCTTCGGGTCCCGCCCCCTTGGGTTGTAGAAAAGATAGAAACTACCCGACAAAAGTAGACTCATAGAAGCACTAAAAATGACAAAGATTGTGAATCAGCACCTTGAGTTTCAGAACCTTGGTTAAATGTTTGATACCATACAACGGTTCTCGGTATGAAATGGGATTAGGTCTGCAGCTGGGTTTTTCGTACTGATGTGGGTACAAAATAAATAAGACGGTGTATTCACATTCTAAACGTACAGCATTTGCAGCAGCTGAAGATCTCGGTTCACGCATGAATGCCAGTTTACCCGTGGGCTCCGACTGTAAATCTCGAACACGAACAGGGAAGGCCAGGCGGTTTTCGCGGAATGCGTTGAAATGCAAGTTCAGCTGCTCGCCCGACTTAGCCACTGGGTGCAGGTTGCCCGCAGCCTCTAGCCAAGCTGGACGGCCTTCAACTACCTCGACCTCTGGCGATGCTGCGCAAACTTCGAACCCTTCTTGGCATTCCAGTGTCTGAAAAAAATTGCGCATGAGAACTTGCAGCCAAGGGCAGGTGGTGTCTGGTAGGCAGCAAGGCTCAAAAGAAGATAAAAACCAGCTACTTATGTCTTTTGAGTAGGCTGACGAATAAAGAAGTTCAACTGATCATAGAAGCGCGCCAAAGTACATGCAATCAGTTACCTTGTCCACCTTATCATCCGTGACGCAGAAGCAACGAATCAAAGCCTCTTCAGAATCCAATCGTTTGGTGAACACGACGAATTTACCCATATATGGCACAAGGCTAGCTTCGCGGTACAGGTGTCCGGCCATTTCGGTGGAATCGTGTACCGGTTGACAGTCCATGAGCCAGAATCTGGAAATATACATTAGAGACCAAGTCAACTCAAATCACAGAAAAGAGAAGAAATGTCAATAGGCAATTTTCAGCCTATGGAACAATAGTTAGGTACGCTAGACTAGAAAACGAGACTGGTGCCCATCACCTAGTAATCGTTGATGAGGTGTTAAATAATGTGCGGAACCACATAGTTCTTGTAGACGTCGAACATGAATAGGTTTCGAGCTAAAAAGAGAAAGGCTGGTTATCCAATCGGATGCTCTGGTAAGATACCAAGGTTTAGGAAGTGCATAATTATTGTAAAACAGATTAATAATCTCTCTGTTATTTCACTGTGTCCATATATATATGAGCAGGGTACCCGAAACGCAAAAGAGCACGTTTGAAAACGCACCTTCAGGATATACTGGGGGAAAGGATGGAGCGAATTGCACGAAATCTTGGGGGGGGGGTGGTTACGACGTGTAAAGGAGTGTTACTACACGTCAACAGGTGGGTTAAACCGAGAGCAAGCAACAGTAGACCCGAACAATATTTTGGTGTGGTTAAGCGAATGTGAAACTGAGAAGAAAAGAATATCTGCAGTATGCGAGCCCATATGGCCCTTTGGATCTGGTCGTACTCCAGCAAATTTACAATACATAAAACAATCAAGGACGGATAAGCCGGACAATAATACTAACCTTGCCGATACTGTGGTTGTGAATGAAACGCAATCTTTGACCTTGGACAGCGGGGTTGATCCGGTGATATCCTCCCACTGAGCTGGAAGTGTGCCCCCAGTGATACTGCACAAAAGGCGAAGAGTGGGAGCGTTCTGAGATTTCGGGTCTCCGCCGCTTGGGTTGATCATACCACGTAGGGCAGTCTTGGGTAGCGGAATAGTTAGGGTGATTGGTTTATGGAATTTGCGACGTCTTGGCTCCAGCGTAACGATCGGTGAAACAGCCACACGGTTTCCAAGTAAACGAGAAACCATATCAGCCGGGATTGGGTGCGCCTGCATGGAAAGCAACGAATGCGGGTGACAGGATTTCGATAAACCCTAGGCTTAAGGATAGTTTGGCATCAGTTACCATTGGAGACAGAGCAACAGAGGAGAATGGACATCGTCTCAGCAGTACCTATGGTACTCCTGAGGATAAGGCTGAGATAACCGATTGGTGGGAGCGCTCTGGGTTGAAAATGTGACACACATAACGGAAGAGCCAAGCGAACGAAGCCTGTTAGGAGTAGCGTTCCAGCTAAACATAATCACCTTGTCCGTCCAAGAGTCCTCTACGAGTAGTTCAATCAGTTAACTATCGGGACTACACACACGGGTTATACAACAGACCAAACAGGGTTATAGCAGAAACGATTGCCCGTACATGGCCAAGTGATCGCAAACTTTCTCCGTCATTACAAGCCGGCAGCAACTTCCGGAAACATTACGATAGGCGAAGTACTGATACAACATACCTCCCTAACCCAAGACTACGATCAAAACACAGGTATTATGGGTAAGAGACAAGATGTACGCAGTACCACCTGTTTGCAATTTAAAACACTACATCAGAAGTTAAACGGTCATTGTATCTGTAAGTATTGGTTTATCCGACCGTGTCAGGAGATGCACAGGAAAGTCAAGCAATCGGACTGACTAAATTAGACTTTCGAAAGCTAATGCACACATGCTTCCCGCCTCTGTTTGTGTCAAATTGGACAGTCTTGTATTCAACCGGTTTCTTTTTAGATGAGTAGTTAGGCCTCGTTGTGTGTAGTATGTTCATGAAAGCTGAAGTGGACTGATGGCGTCCTTGAGATGAAAGACTGACAACTGCCGCCTTATTTTGTTAGTTAGCGCATTTTCAAGTGAGAAGTGCACGCTCAAGTCGGAAGATGACAAAGAAAATTAGGCTTGCAAAGAGTGTAGTCATGTGCTGTCAGTCATTCGACCAACTCAAGTGGATGATGACTCAGTGGAACAAAACAGGCGAGCACTCCAAATCAGCGCCTTTCAGATTACAAACCTCACGACAAACACGCCGCACAGCTGCTGAATTGATTTTTATCTTGTTTCCTTCATCTGGACTTCGTGTGGATCGCTAGCTGAGGCCCCAGAGAGCTTCTTTGCAAAGATGAGATCTCACGATACTAAGTTTTCCCTGTATTGACTAATTGGGCTTACCCTAAGTAGAATTCAACTAACCAAAGGCTCCGAGACTCGGTCCATAGCAAATAAGAGATGAGTTTACCCAAAGTTCTGAGACCCCCCAGAAGGGGATATGTATCGCAGCTATCTGCAAAACTGAAGATACTTAACCGAATGCATGCCTACTCAGAATCACAGACCCATGAAGAACAAAAAAAATTGAAACTGCTCTTTTTTCGGACAGAGTCTCTGTCAGCTACAGCCTAGACGGCCGACTACGTCAATCACAACCTAACAAGCTATTCAATGGTAGAATGGAAAACAAGGGATATCACTGATATGCTACCTAGGTCCTCCGGTATGTAAATGTCACATTACAATGTGTCGTGCTGCTTTCCGACGGTGTATTTGCTGAACTTTGCTGAACAAATGGGGGACAGGTAACAAGTGTTGAGTGAAATTAACTGAACTTTCAAAACAAGCATCAAATATGTCCCAGAAGCAAAGCTGAAAATCAGACCGACATACAGAGCTCATGGGTTCCAATGCCATTACCGAAGAATCTGAGGAGACATTTGGATGATCTAAAACTACTTCAGGGGTGTGGTAAAAAGCAGTGCAGCACTCGCAATATCCAAATCCATCACGTTACACGTTACTCCCTTCCTGTTATGACTTCAAAAAGGTCAAAACGATTGGCTTTTTTCAAAAAGATGACCGTAATATGGAAGGAAATTAGCAATGTTGTGGAATATAGCGAGCTGCTTGGTTGCTTGTATGCTCACCTATTGACGATGTCACCCCGATTGGTGATGAAACGTTTGCAGTCTAACTACCAAGCTTGGTGAAAAGACCAACAACCATGGGAGAAAACGTCAATACTTCCTAGTGTAGTTCACCGAACGTCGCAGTAGTAAACAGTCGTTATCGGGATGGTCGATCAGAGGGAGTAGTGTACAGAAATTTGCAAACTACATGTCTCTAATTAAACTTGGTCGGTTCAACTAAAACAAAAACTCTACTAGGCCTGGAGTTGATTAATCCCGAGACAGTGAACGAGATGCTCACACTGCTTGGACAATCGAGGGCAGCATTTCACCTTTCACCAAAGCAAACGACCAATGCACTGTCATGAGTAGTATGAGAATGCCTAGCGAATCTTTAGGTAGTTCATAACTGGTTCTATCGGAATCGGGACTCATACGATAAGCACATGACAGGTTCTTTGAATAGTAAACTAGTGATTCTGGTTCCTTTGAACCGTACAACCACACTTGGATAAGCACGACAAAAAAGCAAAGCGGAGGATAGAAGAGGGTAATGTCGCACCTGAAGTCCCACTCGAATCCGTTTTTGCAACGCACCCTCGGGGAATACTGCCTGTACTTGTGGCACAACTGTGGAACTGAGAACTCCACCATCCGAACCAATCAGTGCGGTTTCCTGGCGAAGTCGACTCACCACAGCCAAGTATTGGGGAAAATCGTTGGTCAGAATGCGAATGATACGCTTCTCACGCAATTCTTCCATTGTTTCTAGTGAGTCTTCACAAACACACGGAGAGAGAGAGAGAGAAACGAGGGAGTGAGAGTGAGTGTTGATGTTCAATGCGATATAAGCTGAGTTTATTGATCAACGAAAAGAATAGCACGTGAGAAATGGTATGCTGACAACCAAATTGCCAGCTACACAACATGCACTGTACATGTGTACATGGCCTCGGATTGACGTAGAAAAAGTGGAAATGTTATTGTCTAAAATTGCCCGTCAGTCGACAGGCGATTACAGATCGAACGTGTTAGCACACGTGTGTTAGTTGGAATACCAGCTAACCAATCTGAAGGGAGTAGACAAGCAAAATACGCGATCATGAAAATGTTCACTTTCGGGGGGGGGGGGTTTGTTGGTTCCAATGAAAACGTTTCTATCCACAACAGAGAACGTAATTCGAAACTGCAGAGTGGCTGATGAACAGTGAACGCAACATCAATTGGTTCTTGCATCCGAGATTTGGCGAAATCTTGTTGTCAGTTGAAATAGATACTGCGTATGCTGTTTTGTAGCTTTCCAATCAGTCTGTTGATCGTTGTCATCGTTTATCTGCAAGCTGTTTCGCAGGTTGCCCCGATATTTCTCTGTATTCATAATACATTGTTAAAAATAGGCTTCTTGACATACCAAAGTTGAAAAAACGTCCAGCTGTAACACCCTTTCGGTGCCTAGCTGCCTAGTAGTGATTTGCACTATGTATATAGAGTCTAGCAGTCAATCCTAACTCGTGTTACCCAACTCATGGGTCGTCCACAACAACGATCTGCAATGCGAGACGCATACCATCTGGGCATGTACCGCAACCTGAACGGTCTACACTTTGTCCTTAAGAAACAGAAACCACTTTATTAGGAAGACATCGTCCAAATTTCCGGCTCATCGAAGTTGAAGTAAGGGTCACCAAATTGAGCTATCTTCTAGCCATTGGTGTCTAAAAACCAGAGTCGACGTGTACATCCATACGACAGGGAAAAGTGTTTCTTTGAGGAAGGAGAAGTGTTTTTGGATGTGGGAGGCGGGGGCAATGTATCTCCAACCAAACGATTGCTCGTAAGCAATCAGAGTGTTTATCCTAGTTATACAATTGTGGATCTTCATGAAGGCTTTGGGATTCACTCAGATATCTATAGTGAAAATGCCTCGGAAGTTGAACAACACGAGGCATTTCACCTTCACCAATGCCCATTTGACGAATGTTAATGGACTGCATTATTGAATCATTTGGCAAGCACCAGCGAATACAATCTGTTGATCTCAGAACACAGAATCTGCCGATCATAGCGTACCACACATATGCGTGTTCCGTTGTCCGCGTATGTGCACTGGGGTTCCTCCCATCTGCGACTAGGGGAAAGAGCCCAGTTCTCAGGCAGAATAGCATACTCGAGACCACGTATCTATGAGTCATCTCACGTCACAAGAATGAGGGATGCGAGGATGACAATCGCAAAGGACACTCAAAATATGGCTGTCACATAGGAGGCGCATCCGGCCATGTCGCTATAGCCCTGTTGTGTTCCTGTCTCAAAGAGATGAGTGTATGAAACAAACCCACAGTCTGGTTCACCAGGCACAAAACACTACTGTGAGTATGCAGAAGAAATAAATTTCCCACCGATCTCCACTTGACGCAATGCATTGTTATACAAACAAAGAGATCGCAATCAGAGAAACACACCCATTTGCAAACAAATTTGGTCTTGCGAGAGAGTCACCTAGAACCAAGATGAATTTCTCGTTTTCAGCAACTCTATGAGTAGTGCATTACGAATATACATGTATCGCGATATCCCGAATATCGTAGCGACTGAAACATGAGGCAGCCTGGTGCAGCATATTTAGTTGCCTGGACACAGCACAAACAAGAGATTCAGCTAGGTTTAAGATGAGTCTCGCAAAACCAAATTTGCTTAAAAACAAGTGTATTTCGCTAACTTCGTGCGAACCTAAGGTTGACGGAAGCTCGGGGAATGCGCTTACACGATTAGCTCCAAGGAGGGCGAAACCTGTCCGTGGGCCATCGAATAACTTTCAGCAACCTTATGAGTAGTGCATTACGTAATCCATAAATGATGCTTTACTAGTTAACGCAGATGCATTGTGTTATTTTTTGGGGAATGGTCGACTGCAGTGGAACAGAACCAGAAGACACTGACCTAGTGTTTAAAGCAGGATTTGCGGTTTATCACTGAATAGATTGACCAGCTTCGAAGGACGGTCCGGTCTACAAGGTGTTTAGGTCGACTATATAAATCGGTGCTCACGTGACGCATCCATTTACGCACACAGATGAGACACAACCTGGAAGAAACGTCTTGTGCCTGAAACCAGATGAGACGTATCACATAAATCATGATGACCACCATATGTAGGCTCTGAGAGCCTACAAATTCATACTACTCAAATAGTCCAGTTCTTTATTTGTTTCTGTTCAGTGTGGTTAACGCACACTGATGAACTTCCGTTAATAAACATGGTCCTAACGGTGGAATTCACCGAATCCCCCATTGATGGTATTTCTTGTCCGGGGGTGCTGCACAAAGGCCGCCTTACGTTCCAAATAGAACGGCATACAAGATGAAATAGAAGGTACCAATCATGACATGATACCAACAATAAGTTTGATGAAAACTCTTGATCAGTCTACTAAGCTTTTTGACATTTTGGAGTCACATTAGGGATTCAATTCAGTCTCTCATTAGCACCGTCTTGAGTTGCGAATACGTGGTCATTTCAGTGTAATAAAGCTAGGTCCATCGGATGGGTCACCGAAAGGGTGAAACCTAAAAAAGGTGGGCTGTTCGAGGGCTTCCGTCGAGCTTATTACTATCATGTCATGAACATACGTTGCTATTTTGCACCTGTATGTTTTTATCTTGTTTAAAAATGGGCTGCTCGAATGAGTTCATTGTGGTCTGAGTGTTCATTGCCGGCGACAGATTTTCAAACAAGCATGCTACTAAAGTAGATAGCTCTGTTCACAATAGGCTCAGTTTTGTGCGTAGCACACTTTCAGCGTGTGGTCCCCTCTGCATCGGTAGAAAATTCAGGCCTCCTGACACTGAAATCTGGCATCCGCTGAGTGATATCAACGCATAGCAAACTGTGGACTGTGCTTTTTCCAACCACATGTGTCCGAATTGTGCAATATCAAACCGACACGCAGAAAAACTGTACTACGTGCCAGATTGTTGTTCAGACGAGGTTGACCCGTAAATTCTCTACGTTCTGAAACGAATCCGATTAAAAATCGATGGCCACGTGTGCACAATCTGGTATGCAACCAGGTGCACTGCGCGATCGGCCAAGTCGTTTGTTTGTATGATAGCTCGTGGGTAAACGCGATTGACAAGCACGTAAACCAGTTAAACGAACAACAACTTTGGCATGGTCCACTGGATTGCATTGTCACACGGTTTTTGAACAAGCTTGGACAGAGAATCTATACTGGTTGCAATACACGGGGTATATGGTCGAATACGGTTTAGACGGACTGTGGGAAAAGTGTTAAGCCTAGAAGTACGATGTTAAGAAACCCGTAATCACAACGAACTGACGATAGGTGCGTTAATTTCAACTAGTTGGCCCACCGATATCTGCTGGTTTCACTTGGGGCCTATTGTTGGCAAACGGTATTTTAGTTACGAATGGTTGCAGATTTTTCAGAATTGATATTCAGGTCACTCGTGGTCGGACAGCGTGCTTCTGCTCAGCTTGCATCAAGCAGTAGAATCGAGTTTCGTTCAACCAAGCCCTAACAGGAGCTGATTCCAGTGTTTATCCACTATGACGTGGATTGTATTAGGACAGGAGGAGGACCGATGTGGGTGAAATCCAGTTTACTCACCCATAGCTATGCTCATTCGAAGACCCGTAGAAAACCCCATCGATGAGATTCCGCCAACCTTGGCACGGCCGGGCAGCTTATCGTGCGGCTGATGCTCCGATTGGCATGCGCTATCATCCAACCGACCAATCACAACAGCTATCCATGTAACCCTGTTATGGGACATTCACTTGGTTGGCCCTGTCGTGCACACGGCAAGGCGACTGTGGTAACGAGCTACGCGTCCACTCGGTATGAAAGAACAAGTCACGTTGCCCCATCGAAATGAGCCTGGCAAGCGAGCACAGTAAAACTCCATTCTGATAACAGAAAGCAGTAAGGAGTGGTGCAAGAGAATAACGAAGAGATGAAATGCTCAACTTTCTGCCTCATTTCACCCGCTCTAACTATGCTGGAATATGATAGGATTGCACGTTTCACTTGGTGCTTTGGTTGCTTTGAACGTATTTAGTCCATGAAACAAGAGGGCTCAACCAAACTGGATGAAGAAAAAAATAGGTAAGGTCAACTCAAATCGCCCTTCCAGTAAGGTCGATCGAAAATCGATCACCAAAATGAGAACTTCTAAGGGCACGTGCCTCTTCGTCACTATAAACACTCCATTAGCTAAGCAGATTATCTGTCTCCAGGATCAATTCAATGTGTCAGCTACCAGGATCGTGACATTCTATACTAAAAATTGATTCACTGTATGAGTAATGTGCCCTATCCACCGCACGGTGGATGTAACGCCGTCAGTCACGTGACACGTCAGTTCTCATAAACAATCATGTGGCTACAGACCGCATTTACACACCTATTTTCTGGTGAATCCGTTGCATAGACCTAGACCTTCAGTCCTAAATTTGGCATTTCCGACCTGCAGCATAACAACATAAAAATGCCAGCGGTCGGTGCTTGATTGCCCAGTAGGATGATTAACGGCCATGTCTGCTCGCAGTAAGGCGTTAGACAACCTATAAGGCCTGATTCATACCAAGAATCTTTCCGAAATCTATTGGACGTAAGCAAACAGTGCGTTCGGTTATCGAAACGCCTTCAGTCCGTATTATGGCCCAAGGACCAGATGTTCGTCGAACAGACCCAAATAGCTTGGAGTTTCTTATAAACAGCTGTTGACTTAAACGACCTGACAACAAGCGGATGGTCCGTTTGTTTATCTAGCAAATACGATGCTTATGGGCTTGAAGTTTTATCGTATGTTTACAGTAAGAATGTGGTCGGTTCGACAAAAACGCAGTCATACGAAGGCTTTCAACGCTGAGCCTTCTAACAGATATTCTGTTAAGAAACCGTCGGAGAAAACACTGACAAACCTTGTGAATGGTCAAATCATACATATGGAAAGTTTGGAAATCAGAGAAAGGACTCGAATGGAGGATAATAAGAATAAGAATCGTTCAGCTGTAGCGCCCTTTCGATGCCTAGCTGCCATGCCACCCGAAGGAGACACGATGGCTGGGATATTGTCAGAATGCCCAAACCTAGGCAGGGGAAGTCGAGAGGCAGATGTTGGGCTCGAACCAGGGACCTTCTGGTCAGTAAATTCGCATTCTAACCACTTCAGCCATCTCGCCTCGGTACTCTTAAAGTGGTCAGCGTTTTTTACGTTGTGGCAGGTGGTTCACATTATCACCTGGAGAAAGACGGCGCTCAAACCACAGGAACATTGTGTGGGCCACCATTCGAGTTGAGATGCCTGCTTCGCCCATCAAACAAACGCAAGTATGCACGACTCATGTAATTCTTGCTGCTGTCCTGGCAAACTCGAAGCTGTTTCCTGCCACCTGCAATCAATTGCAGTTTTCCTCGAACCCTCGGACTCCGTGGATAGATCAGTTACTCTACATATATGTAGAGGAACCTAACCAGTGAGAAGAGCCCCTGAAGTTTGTATACTTCGATATTCCCACGTAAGAGTTTACAACCACCGACGCACAGGTTCGATCCACTTCATAAGTTGCTGATGACATCACCTTGATATATGTGACGAAACATTTGCAACAAAATTTTTAAGCTCAACAAACAGCTGTGCATAAGTTCTTATACACCTCCCACTTCCATCGTGTCAAACTTTGTGACCGATATTGTGTCGAAACTGCATCTAAACAAGCCTGAAGTCGATGAACACACTATCAGAACCCGAACGAAATTTCCGAGCTTGTGTCAGAAAGGAATTTCACTGAAGCTGATAGAATGTATGTGCTGGGCAACCTTAAGAGCGGTGCTGTTTTATGGTTATGAAACTTGGTTTCTGCAATCAAAGTAAATCAGACGGGTTTGTACGTTTGTTGATCGGTGCTTTCACAGCAGCTGGCTGAGACGTTTTCGCAGCGGAACGATTCATAATTGATGATTAGTCAAACTCATCAGAGCATCAAAAAAGCTCATCAGTTTATGGTCTTTGAGACATGTACTACTCATACTCAACTACCAAAGGAAGTACTATTTCTAACTCGGAACTCATGTTGGCAAAAGGGACAGGTCATGACGTGGCAACGCGCAATGAAGTCAGCTAGAGTGAAACCGAGTACCTTCTGGTACTCCGTGCACGTAGTTAGAAAGCTCACAGCTCACCGCATGTAGCCAGTCCCAGTGTGGAGCATGCCATCACTGCTTAGCTATAGTTGGGTAGCTGTCGTTTTATGCTCCATTCCTTTGAAGCGGGGCCAAATGTATGGCAGTTAAGCAGCAGCACTTGTTACTGGTGTGTCGCTGTTAACGATGGTGATGATGACCGAGATTAACGTCCATCTGTTCATGATGCGCCACACTTGTGCTTTATCATTGATTTATTTCCCAAGCATCATGGTTTTCTCATAGTTTATTGGCTACTTCCCATTCTTAGTCATTTCGGTGTCCATCATCCTTACAAAGTTTTTGACGATAGTTCTTCGTTTCACCCGTAAACTACTTTGTGAGTAACAATAACAACAATAATACGGTGCCCAACCATCAGGCCACCCGAAGGAAGCTCGAAGGCTGAGATACTGTTAGGTTGCCAAAGTCTAGACAGGAGCGGTTGAAATGTCGGCGTTGGGTTCGAACCACAGACCTCCCGATCAGTAAATTCGCGCCTTAAGCACTGAGCTATCATGATCTATCTCGAAGAGTATTGAGGAGTACCTCGCAAAACCCAGCCCTTACTCTTCGTGGTGCACTGGTTTGGTGACCCCTGTTGCACGCTGACTAACGAAGTACTGGTGGTAGTGCCTCCAGGGGTGGTGGATTCTCAGCTGGAAACCGGGCTTCCTACAAAACGTTCCATGAACCTGTGACAACGTGTCAAGAGTTATCCCACCATAAAAAAATAGCTTCACATCCCAACAAGAAAACAGGGACACTTACTTAGTACTTTGTGCTATCAAATGGGCGTACGAACCGTATAACGATCATTGACAATCATGAAACTATGTTACTCTGTGGACATAATTAGGGTGAGCAAGGGCCATAGAAGTCAACTCGAACGAACACCAGACATATGAGATCAGCTCAATAGTTGCGGTTCCTCTGGCGATTCTGATTCTCATAGCCACTCCGGTATCTAACAGCCTGCACCTGGTTGTGCAAAGGCTAGGATTGCATCCTCAAATAACAACCGAGTGGAGCTGGAAACTTCATCCGTACACAAGGTTCCATGTTACTGCATGGTTATGTTCTAAATATGCAACTGACCAAGCTTAATGGGCAGCCATCATTCGGAATATTCTCGGGGCCTACTTATCCTCCTCCAAGATGAAGTCCCCGTAAATGAACCAGGAATGAGGACGTGCGGACGGGAAATTCGAAAATCTTGCGCGAAGAATCAAGCTAAGGGGTTCCATCAGAGGCGTATAAACATCAATTACCTTTCAGAATACAACTAAAACTACCCACAGCTTTGAAAGTAAGCACCAACTTGGGAGCCAAGTGGGCGATGCGTTTATTGGGAATTAAAAACAGATCATTCCGTTTTCGAGTTTAACTCTGCTGCTAATGCCGCTGTATAAAAAGTTCTGAGCCGAAAAACCATTTCTGGCAAGAGCAACTGAGGATTTTCGTATGCTCGTGTGGCTAATCGATTAGGGATTTAAAGAAGACAAGGATTTGCGGAATGACCAATTTGCCAGCACAAAAATGGCATCAAAAAATTGCATTCAATCCTAGCAAGCTATACAGAACGAAGCAACATGTACATGATAACCCGAGTAGTTGCAAGTGATAAGTGATGTTGTCTCCAGTGGCGGGTTGCTGGATCGATCACGTGACATGAATATTCCGTAAAAAGGAGTTAGTCTGCTGGTCTGTGACAGGGAAATTTCCGTATCTCATAAATGAAGAACTTCCAGGCTTTCTCAAGTAACGTAACGAAATAACCCGTAATTTGGTTGACTGGGTTGAACTGACCTCTAGCTATTAGACTTTCACCTAAAAAATAAATAAATCGTTCAGCTGTAGCATCCTTCTGGTGCCTAGCTGCCGTGCTACCTGAAGGTTGCACGAGAGCTGAGATACTGCCAGATTGCCCAAGCCTCGACAGGGGAAATCGAAAGGCAGAGGTCGGGTTCAAACCATGGACCCTCCGGTTAGTAAATTCGCGCTCTAACCACTTGCACCATTTCGCTTCTCAGCTCTCTGAGACTCATTTGCTTCAAAAAGATTCTCATGTGAATATACGCTAAAGCTGTGCCAGGTTTTTTCGAACTTTACACCGAACACCAAACCAAACACTTGACACTAAAATACTTATAAACAGAGTCAAACACAACGGGGAATAGATAGTGTGTGACAGAGGCCATATATTCTGCTGGAGGTGTGTGAAACGTTCGCAAAAGTATTAACACCGGTGGATATGTTCAAAAATACCGATGAAGGGGGTCCCTCCTTGTTCTTCCTGGTCAACTTACAGACTACCGTCATGTCGAGGCAGGATGTAAATGATGATTTTCAGATTAGAGTTGAGTAATTGCTACTTCCACAAAGTAATCCGTTCCTTACAGTGATCTACTGGTAAGTCCAGCAGGGGGCGTTCGCACTCCACAACTGTGGCTAGTTTGAAGTTTTATGGTGCAGATACAACGTCACTTGTTACATCGTTTTCGGTGGGTTTCACTGTATTCTCAATTTGCTGTAGCGAACCAATGACCCTCAAGACAATATGTAAATCCGGTGCCCCTCAGACTAAGTCACCGTTCACTGTCGCGTCACCGCACAAAATGCAGCCACATGATTAGACATTGGGCCCTAGCGAGACAACAAGAAGCCAGATGGAGAAAACTGTGATCATTATGGAGTACACCCTGATCTCAAATGAGGTGAGGACGTGCAGCTTGATCAGTTGCTTTTTCGGTTGTTATGCAACGGAAAGCTGACGGGCTTTTGATCGACTGTACCATCTTTTTGGATCTAACAGAACCACTTCGTTTCAATTAAGTTTGGTGTAAGTAACCCCATTTTGTTTACCCAATTTGACGTTTTCACGGTTATCAGTTTAGGAGATCTGTGTGTTGGGGACTATGTTCCGAAGTATGTATGTAGTTTCTGATCAGACCGACGCAAGCGGGTCGCAGAAAGTGGAAAAGACTGGGCACTGTTACTCCTTAGTAGCCTTTATTGCCTTCAGCATTGCCAATAACTTCGTAATTGTCAACTGTAGACATGTAAGGCAGGATTCCACACGGATCCCGCTATACCGCACGTCTTCAGGCGCTGCTGCTGCCGATAAACCTAGTCCGCACGAGATTGACCAAGGGTTCGGGACGCTTGCCGGTACGGCATCGAGGCGAGATCTGATTGGTCAGAAATCTGGACCCAACAGCCAGTCATGACCTAGTATTGGCCAAATGCCGGTTGCCAATGGCGCATCCAGAACGCGTCAGAATTTCCAGGTTATAGCCATCTACGCTATATACACGAAGCGCTGTACAATTGCTCTTGACCTCGTTTTGGGCATAAATAGACCTTGTGCACCTTTGGTGGTTGTTTTGACGTGAACGCTAGCTTGGGAGGCTCAAACCGCGAACTAAGCTGAGGAAAATACCGTTACTACAAGACGTTGTATTGATGATATAGCTGTCTAGCTGACATGTTATTGCCTTCGTGTTTTATTCACTTTCTTCACTCGCCATCAGTTGGATAATTAGAAAACATGGGTCGGACATTCAGCACCCAAACAGCAATAGGTATGCGCGTGTTCTTTCTCCGTGTGCCAACGAACCTGTGCGAGTGAGATGTAAGAAATCGGTTCTAGATTATCCTAACCTCCCCGAGAAACACCCATGGGACCTCTGGGGGGAGGTTCGTGTTCGGGAGATAGAACAACTTCCTAGTTTTCTTGTAAACCTGAATGGCGCTCAAGTTAAAAGCACCTAACTTGCCAGATTTGTGTGCGCTTCACACTGTTCTTCTCTGTTTGATCCTGGGTTGAGATGTACTTCTCACATGATAAGTCGACTTAAATGTCCGTTCTCCTTTTGTGAAATCTCGTCGCCTCAAAGTCGGTCTGATTTCTTCATTTGAGCTTGTTGGTTATTCTTTCTCAGAATAAGGCCTAGATTCTTCTTACTTAGCAAACAGAGCAACAGCAACAGTTATACGACATGAGCTATCGACATTTCTGTCGGTAGAATCCTCGACAAACGCGTGTTGGCAGAATGGTTACTTATCACAACTCCGGATTTGCACAAAGATTGTCTGATGACAGGTATGAAAGTGCAGACACGGCCAAACAGGACGCGCTTGAAATATGCTCTTCTAGAACAGACCGATCTTCGTGGTATCGTGAGGCTCCTGAAAGGGGACGTTTTAGGAGGGAATAGCTTCGTCAACTGATGTGATTTCAGGGTTCGGCAACTGAGACGTATAAGATCTACCGATATAACTTCAGGAGACAGTATTTAAGGGTCCTGCGGTTTCATTTTTTTCGATCTTACTGCGACTCTTACAGTGCCAGTCACCAAACGCTCCCTCCGCAAGAGGTCTATTCGACTGAACTAAACTATTTTCATTTCACTATTCATAACCGTCTAAGGATTTCAGCGATTCACAGTTGGATTACCAACCACACAAGTGAGCTTTAATCTAGCGACTGAAAACACCGTATTACGTTGTCCCCAGCAATAACCAGAAAAAAAACAGCAATACTGATTTCATGTCACATGAGACGTTTTATACAAGAGGCACAAAAGCATCCTTTTTACATGGAAAGTTCAGTCGTCCAGCTCATTAGGCAGCACCAGGGACATGTACCGGAGGTGAACGGCGCGGTTAAAATTGACTTCAAGACATCCTGGTTCACAACAGTCGAAAAACCAATTGAGTGCAATGTCAACTAAAGCTTGCATTCCCTGTTTTCTTAAAACAATAGGTCCTGACTGTGGAATAGAAGAAGCGAAAGTCCTGTGAAATTCTTTTGTCTAGTCTTGCAGATTTGTCGTCAACCTAGTTGTAAAACTTCCAGGTTCGGGACATAGTGGTCACTTTGGACAGGGGGTCTATCCGCGGGGAAACACTGCCCTATTTCCACTTAGTACCAATCAGTAGCCCTCGTATTAAAGGGAGTCATTTATTCCGGGTCGGAGAAGCTTTGGGAGGGGATTAACTTTATGCGAAAGGGATTGAGAGATTGAGGGACATCCATCCAACGCATAGCAGTTGCTTACCAAAGTTTTGTCCCAGTGCGGACTGCACGGCTTGATCGGTGGCCTCCAGGGAATGTTCGCGCCAAGTCTCTGCATTGTCACTGCGTAGGACGACCAACTCTCGCTGACGACCACGAAGGGAAGCGAAATGTGGGATTTCCAGTAGCACCGGTGTGTTGAATGAGCACGGATGCGGGCCCAGTTCGATGATGCTGAGATCACACGATGGAGGGAAAACAAATTGAGTTGAGAAGTTTCAGTGAAACGCAGTTGCCCAGCAAAAATCAAATGTACGGAGCAACTGAGATCTAGCTAGCGATGAAGGTAAGTGTCACCGATGAGTGCTCAGTAATCAAATAATGGACGTCCCGCTTTATGCACTCTTTCGACTTGGCGGTGATGTTATCCGATTGGTGGGTCATTATCGACCGGCACCAAAAACTGCAAAAACAACTTAGCTTAGAGTAGATCATAATATTGTGGAGACAACGCAAAATTTGAAAGTAGTAGCAGAGTTTTAACTAACTTACCTCCACACACACACACAAGGTATCTGCTTCTACGAGATCGAAAAGCAGGAAGCACAATTCTTTCAAGGTAGCGTCGCGTATTGCCTACGAAAAATACTGCTGAACTGATGAGGAGCCCTAAAAGATTCCGGAATGTGCTGAGCACTCGTAGCAGGGTGGATGCAGATGAAGTCATCTTATCTTGAAGTTACTACTAAAAGTTATCAAGTAGCGGTAGTACTGGTGAACAGACTGACTTCCGTTGCCGAAAAGACTTTTTCTGCAAGCCAAGTGTATTCGACATATTATTGCTCTCTTATAAGAAGCCTGATTAAAGATCGGGTAAACGAAATAACAGCGGACGCTGGGGACAGAGTTCGAATCCTTGACCCATTGGTTAGCATCAGAATGTTCTAGTGGTTGATCTGACGTCCTTGTTATACACATGTGCCCGCAATTTACATTGGTTTGCCACATCTCCAATTGGTAGATCAACAGCTGAAAACTGTCAGCACAACCTATGAGTCCCGCGTAATTCGAATCAAAAGATGTTCAGCCGAGGGGTCGTGGGTCCAGCTTTTGTTCCCGGAACAACTGAGTTATGCGTACTTGAACTTTCAGTCGATCAACAAGGATATGCTGCGCTGCATCGGAATTAACTTACAGCTCACTGTCGCCGTTATGATCACCCTTCTATCGACAGACAGATAGGATGAACTATTAACATAGGTTGATGTTACCTCCCGTTTACAAACACCTCACTCTGACGAATAGTGTGATCAACAGTTGAACGTGCGCCAGACGTTACCCGCCAAGCACAACCCATGCTATGCACCGGGCCAATTTAGACAAACCATCACAGGAACGAGCAAATACTTACCGGCACGCGAGCCCTTCAGAGTCATTCAGCTGAGGAGGTCGTGTCGTACGTTCTGGTCTGAGCATACGACATGTGATGCGTGTGGGGGCACTGGCAGAACTGGGTGGGACAAGGATACGGAGACCAGGGTGTCGGCTGCCACGCATGGAACCACCGCGGGCATCGACCAAGAACGAGACCAAAAATCTATGGTATACAAAATGAATGAACGAAAGGTGATTCGGAACAAGACGTGACGCGGTTTTCAAGTTATGCAGTGTTGGTATTTGCATTTTTAAGTCAGACTGGCTGCCTTGAAGTTTACGAAATGCAATCGTAGCTTTCCAGAGGCATGAAGCAACCGAACGAAAACAGTTTCCGTTGATTAAATGCATGAATACAAAACTGACAAAATGCATTTTGCGAAGGCCAAAGTTGATGTCACTCGTTTTGGTTAACCTCTCATTTCGAAAGACATGCACCGCGCCAGTCTTGAGCCGCTCTTTAGTTTAAAACGTCTAGCTTGTCCAAGCAAAACAAAATAGCCAACTAAAGCAGCTGGGACGTGGTCCCGAAAGGTCGGAGCGGTAGTGGCATGTAAATGGCACAACACTCTACGTACAACGTTGTTGGAAACTCTTCGATAGCCCACCACCTCTTTCATCTCTCTTGGGGTCCGTCAGACAGGCACAGTCTCCGAGTTAGGTGAAGAAAATACACCTGGATAGCTAGAATATTGTACCAAGTAAGGCGAGAGGCAGCCCCTGTGCAGCACAGTTGAAGAATGCACTAAGTGAGAGGCTCAGCTAGGATTCAGTTGACTCTACCTTAACCACAAATTACTTCAGATGTGAATGCATTTCACCAGTTTGTGTGAACGATTTCGGCACGCTGTAACAAATAATCCCAAAGGACTAGAGAAATGGAAAGGTGTTAATTTGATTAAGGTCGAAGGAGGTGTGAATCTAGAGGTCCTAAGGAAGAGTCACAGATTAGACGTGTCACCGTATTGGTGGCTGAAAACTCACGGATTAGGGTGCACGAAGTTATTTTGGGCTTGGCTTGATGTGACTGCCAAATAAACCAGTCAGCCATTGGAAATATCCTGGATTATTGTCGAATAGGTGGCATTTTTGACATCTTTTCAGAGGAATTTTTGATTACCATATCTAAAATAGTGCTTTACAGTTCAAACTAGGAAGTGATCTCTCAGGAATTCCAACGTTTCAAGAGGCCAGCTCTAATATGTTCGTGAATTCCCATAAACTCTGCGAACCACCACGTTTTGAACTGGGTGTTTGTTTGCGCACACCGAAGGCAGTCTCGCTGCCGGTCAGAAAAAGAACCTTATTTTTGGAAAGCTGGCTGATACATAGTAGCAGATTTTTCCTCCATAATTTCAGATGGCTCGGAAACTGATTGCCAGCCAAACCGATTTTTCTTGACACCGAATAAAATTATTCTTCTTGGGAATGTCCGCTTCTGAGAGTGGTCTGTGCGGAGATGATACAGATCCCGGAAAAGTACCGATTCGGCCAAAAACTAATTGGGCATGTTGTCAATTATGTTGGAAAAAGTACAAGAAAGCAGTAAAAATTGGGTTTTACTCTCCAAATTCCGGAATACTCATACTGGAAATTATACATACTGGCATCTAGTTTAAAAAGGTTACGACAGACCTCTTGCTCCGACGAACAAACACACTTTCCCAGCCTCGGCTTGCAGTCAAAACGAATGTTGGTCTCGAACTGCTTCAGAACTCACCTACACAATTTTCTCTCAACAGACGTAACACGATTTGAACAAACCATATAAATGGAAATTTATTCAAGTAGCGGAAAACAGTTTTTTCTCAAGAGTGTTTTTGCTTTGGAAGCGTACAGAGTGAGTGGAGTATAAAACCTAGGTGGTCGAAACCCAGCATGACTGTGAACAATGGAGAAACACAGTTATATTCGGCCCTTGTGGAGTGTCAAAAGTGATTTTGTTTGGAGAAAATCTCTATATGGAAAGAAGATCTCCTTGAATGATGAGCATTTATTTAGCTTTAGTTTGTGTGGTTTTGACTCAATGAGAATACTGTACTTTCGGTTTTTGCGAGAATACGATCTCATTTACTTTTAGCCCATTCTACTGCTCCCACAAACTTACTAACGGATATAACTTCTTTAGAAAAAACTTCATTTGAAGTATGTTATGTCAAAAACATGGTTCCGAGTACCTAACTTCTAGCAACGGCACAAAAAACAGCCAATCGTGTTGTAGACCTGCGTGAATGTGAATTCCACAAATTCCGCAACCACCTACAATCAATAAGGAGGAAAGAGCTGTATGTTGCTTCTCGGTTTTTCAGCACATATTGGCTTCACTTGTAGGAAAATGAAGAAAAAATTGTCAAGCAGGCACCCATAACGCTACCTGACCAAGCGGTTTTTCACACATATTGGCTTCACTTGTAGGAAAATGAAGAAAAAATTGTCAAGCAGGCACCCATAACGCTACCTGACCAAGATGTTCCGACAGGCAAGTCAATAGATCGACATAAACACGTCGGTCACTGAGTTGTTGTTCAAGCTGTCGGGCAAAACAGTCACATCGTTTGTTTAGACGTGATAACTCGGCTGCGTCTAGCGTGAGTTGGTGGAGTAGTGATACCGCGTCGAATCTCCTGAGCTTAAACCCCGACATAGCCCAGGAAATACGCTTCTGTTAGGCCCTAATGGGGAGGAAACTCGACATTAGTGCTTCCGCCTCTGGTGTGGAGTTGCCAGAACAATGGCTTCACGACAGGAGGGGGACCGTTCAAACAAAAGTACTGTGAATGAGAATTCTGCAAATCCCCCAACCACCTAAAACCAAGCTAAACCATTTTAATCGCGACTGTGAGAAGTCGGTAGAAAGAAACATGTACCCATCTCAGTACCAAAGCGACATCATTCACCGTTCCTTATCTGGAGCCGTCACTCCGATAGAGATGAGAACTCACTGAAGTCTGACATGTAGATGGCGTTTTGCTAACTTCAAACAAAAATAAGGTAGCCCCAAGTGATTCGCCCTTTTAATCACAGAACTTCAACCTGCTTCGTAAGCGTCACGCGACCTAACCATTTGCCAATCATTTTTTCACACAAACAAACATTTATTTGTTTAACAGAGCACATAGTCTCCAAAATAGCCCGAGCCCAACTACATGATAACACGAAGATCACAGCAATTCCGCGTACAGGCCATCGCCGATATTGAATGAAATCAATCTCGATGTAATGGATAAACAACATCCAAACACGTGATATCAAATGCCAACGAAAGCCGAGTGCTTATGTGTTAGGCGGGATTCCATACAGATCCCGCTTTACCGCTCGCAGTCAAGTGTTGCTAGGGCCGAGAAGCCTATCCCAAGCAAGATTGGCCTAAATTCCGGGACGCTTGTCGGTCCGGCATTAGGCCGAGATCTGACTGGTCGAAAGTCTGGATCCAACAGCCAATCCATGACCCAGTATTGGCCGAATGCCAGTTGCCAATGGCGCATCCAAAGGGCGTCAGGTTTCCGAAAATTGTCCCAGACTGAACTTAATCTGGCTCGGCTGGAACTTAGTCTAAGATAGACAGTCAGTGTTGGAACAGTACACGGTCCCAAAACCGACTGGAGATGAGAAAGCCTAAGATTGCAATGAAACAATGCATCATAGCTCAATAGTTGTCGAGTTCCAAGTACTTTCTTCTTGATACCTGCGGACAAGGCTTCGAGATAAGTCAACCTATCTGGTGATTCTCATTTGAGGTGACAAACCGCTGGCTTGTAAAACCTAGATTACAAGAAGTGAGAACCGGCCACGAGGCTGTACTAGAATGTGCTGGTTACAAATATCGAACACTTGGAGAATTCACTGGGAATGAAATGAAAAATGCCGTCCGAACCTCATGGTTGTCGTTTAAGTCAGACTAATACAAATAAAATCTTGTTACTTCTGAGCAGAGAGTGTGATGCGGTTCCCATTGGTCATCAAGAAACTACTGGAAAGACCCTCAATAGTGAACTTGCCTCATTTTTATAATGCTTCAGATCAAATTATCAGGATTCATTCCCTACAGGTTAACTATGCCCTCAAGGGTGTAACAGGTACATTTTCTTCATATTTTACTTTTTGTTGCAACAGACATTCCCAGCAGTCCAGAAGAGTTTAGTTTAAATAGGCATTGTTGCACACATAAAACGCCAATTACTACTCATTCACAAAGCCTTTACATGGAATTGTCAAAACTGCCCACTATAAAAAAACAGTCAATCGAACGTGCAGTTTTCATCTGGTTCTGACCATAGTAACCATTGAGCTCGGTGCGTCTTTCGAGAAAAGTGGAATAAAAAGGAAGCTTCATCAAATAAATTGGTTCCAGTCAAACGATTGACCAACAAACGATCTAATACGTTATCTTTTGGCAGTTACTTATGACCAGAAATGACCTTGGGAAGCCCAGACATAAGGGTGTCAAGCTAGTGGCTCAGACGCTCGTGGTTCGAGGAGATTCCTGGATTTTAGATTACTTCTTATCTGGGCCTGAGCATTCTCGAGGTATCTCAGCCCCAGTGTTTCCACTGAGAAGCATGAAAAGTATTCAGGGAAGGCGCCAGAGAACCACAGTACAGACAAAACGACGGAAAAGTTGGGTCTATGGACAAATAACCATGTTTTGGTAGGTCAGAACTGCCATGTTTATCCAATCGTCCATTGAAAACCTAAGTGGCAGCTATTCACTTCCACTTCAAGATGCCGCTTCATTTCAGAAATCGTGCCATTGCTGAGTTTCATCTGTATTGATTTTTCTACCAGTACTAGCAACAGTCATTTTAGGACATATAACCATATTTATTCTCGTGGAATGGCGTTCCATTATTTTCCCGGGAATATTGTACGCCACATCATAAAACAACTGGTTCTTCAGTAAACTGGGAGATTCGACACCGCTTCACAAAAACTCCTCAATTGGTGTACCAGATGTGTTCAGTAAATAGTCAATAAGATTCGCACTTCAAAACTGAGATGGTACGAAACACCTTGATCACGAGGACCAAAGAAGATTTATAGATGACTTTTTTGCGTCCTCAAGCTTTACCTGATGACTTAAGTTTCAACAAAGTAAGCAACTGCAGTTAGCAACAGGTTGCGACTACTCTGAGCTATCAGTAACTATCGGGTCAATGGATAGAACGTAACAAATGTTTAGTGATCGATGAGGGGAAGTTCGATCGGTTACTATAATGACAGCTTGTGCTGTGATGTGGTGAGCTTTTACCATCGTTTCAAGCCCCTTTTCAACCTTTCCAAAATGCAGCCCAGCTGCAGATGGGCCGGCGGAAGCGGTGCATGCAGTGCATGGAAGTGTCATATTCCCAACAAGTCACCATTGCGGAGCATAATGTGTTTGGTTAGAGGCTGGATTATCAGTTCGTTCAATATGGTTACGAAAGCTGTATGACTCTCCCTTTTTGGTCAAGCACCCACATATTTACATCCCAGAGGAGGCGCAGAGTCTGTTATGATGCCGAACAGACCTAAGCAAACTTAACAGAATAATGAAGGCCATCATTGCTTCAGCAAAAAACGTAATTTGGCATCTGGTGTACATACTTGTCTAGTTTTGTAAAACCATGTTCATTTATAATACATGTATGCCGTGTTTGCAACTTGGTCCAAAGCATTCATTCTAACCAACAAACTCCTCCACCATTCCCAGAGGAACGTGTGGGCGCCCCCGACATTTACAATTTGCATACTATTTGGATTTTTATAATACGGTTCAAATCTCCTCACATCACCAACAATCCATAAGTAGCCCAGTGGGAGAATAAACCTCAGCCGATGAGCGAAACTTCCATCTGAGAATAAGTCGTTGCTCAAGGACCCAGTCAACACGTGTGACAACATTTATTTGTTTAACAGAGCACATAGTCTCCAAAATAGCCCGAGCCCAACTACATGATAACACGAAGATCACAGCAATTCCGCGTACAGGCCATCGCCGATATTGAATGAAATCAATCTCGATGTAATGGATAAACAACATCCAAACACGTGATATCAAATGCCAACGAAAGCCGAGTGCTTATGTGTTAGGCGGGATTCCATACAGATCCCGCTTTACCGCTCGCAGTCAAGTGTTGCTAGGGCCGAGAAGCCTATCCCAAGCAAGATTGGCCAAAATTCCGGGACGCTTGTCGGTCCGGCATTAGGCCGAGATCTGACTGGTCGAAAGTCTGGATCCAACAGCCAATCCATGACCCAGTATTGGCCGAATGCCAGTTGCCAATGGCGCATCCAAAGGGCGTCAGGTTTCCGAAAATTGTCCCAGACTGAACTTAATCTGGCTCGGCTGGAACTTAGTCTAAGATAGACAGTCAGTGTTGGAACAGTACACGGTCCCAAAACCGACTGGAGATGAGAAAGCCTAAGATTGCAATGAAACAATGCATCATAGCTCAATAGTTGTCGAGTTCCAAGTACTTTCTTCTTGATACCTGCGGACAAGGCTTCGAGATAAGTCAACCTATCTGGTGATTCTCATTTGAGGTGACAAACCGCTGGCTTGTAAAACCTAGATTACAAGAAGTGAGAACCGGCCACGAAGCTGTACTAGAATGTGCTGGTTACAAATATCGAACACTTGGAGAATTCACTGGGAATGAAATGAAAAATGCCGTCCGAACCTCATGGTTGTCGTTTAAGTCAGACTAATACAAATAAAATCTTGTTACTTCTGAGCAGAGAGTGTGATGCGGTTCCCATTGGTCATCAAGAAACTACTGGAAAGACCCTCAATAGTGAACTTGCCTCATTTTTATAATGCTTCAGATCAAATTATCAGGATTCATTCCCTACAGGTTAACTATGCCCTCAAGGGTGTAACAGGTACATTTTCTTCATATTTTACTTTTTGTTGCAACAGACATTCCCAGCAGTCCAGAAGAGTTTAGTTTAAATAGGCATTGTTGCACACATAAAACGCCAATTACTACTCATTCACAAAGCCTTTACATGGAATTGTCAAAACTGCCCACTATAAAAAAACAGTCAATCGAACGTGCAGTTTTCATCTGGTTCTGACCATAGTAACCATTGAGCTCGGTGCGTCTTTCGAGAAAAGTGGAATAAAAAGGAAGCTTCATCAAATAAATTGGTTCCAGTCAAACGATTGACCAACAAACGATCTAATACGTTATCTTTTGGCAGTTACTTATGACCAGAAATGACCTTGGGAAGCCCAGACATAAGGGTGTCAAGCTAGTGGCTCAGACGCTCGTGGTTCGAGGAGATTCCTGGATTTTAGATTACTTCTTATCTGGGCCTGAGCATTCTCGAGGTATCTCAGCCCCAGTGTTTCCACTGAGAAGCATGAAAAGTATTCAGGGAAGGCGCCAGAGAACCACAGTACAGACAAAACGACGGAAAAGTTGGGTCTATGGACAAATAACCATGTTTTGGTAGGTCAGTACTGCCATGTTTATCCAATCGTCCATTGAAAACCTAAGTGGCAGCTATTCACTTCCACTTCAAGATGCCGCTTCATTTCAGAAATCGTGCCATTGCTGAGTTTCATCTGTATTGATTTTTCTACCAGTACTAGCAACAGTCATTTTAGGACATATAACCATATTTATTCTCGTGGAATGGCGTTCCATTATTTTCCCGGGAATATTGTACGCCACATCATAAAACAACTGGTTCTTCAGTAAACTGGGAGATTCGACACCACTTCACAAAAACTCCTCAACTGGTGTACCAGATGTGTTCAGTAAATAGTCAATAAGATTCGCACTTCAAAACTGAGATGGTACGAAACACCTTGATCACGAGGACCAAAGAAGATTTATAGATGACTTTTTTGCGTCCTCAAGCTTTACCTGATGACTTAAGTTTCAACAAAGTAAGCAACTGCAGTTAGCAACAGGTTGCGACTACTCTGAGCTATCAGTAACTATCGGGTCAATGGATAGAACGTAACAAATGTTTAGTGATCGATGAGGGGAAGTTCGATCGGTTACTATAATGACAGCTTGTGCTGTGATGTGGTGAGCTTTTACCATCGTTTCAAGCCCCTTTTCAACCTTTCCAAAATGCAGCCCAGCTGCAGATGGGCCGGAGGAAGCGGTGCATGCGGTGCATGGAAGTGTCATATTCCCAACAAGTCACCATTGCGGAGCATAATGTGTTTGGTTAGAGGCTGGATTATCAGTTCGTTCAATATGGTTACGAAAGCTGTATGACTCTCCCTTTTTGGTCAAGCATCCACATATTTACATCCCAGAGGAGGCGCAGAGTCTGTTATGATGCCGAACAGACCTAAGCAAACTTAACAGAATAATGAAGGCCATCATTGCTTCAGCAAAAAACGTAATTTGGCATCTGGTGTACATACTTGTCTAGTTTTGTAAAACCATGTTCATTTATAATACATGTATGCCGTGTTTGCAACTTGGTCCAAAGCATTCATTCTAACCAACAAACTCCACCATTCCCAGAGGAACGTGTGGGCGCCCCCGACATTTACAATTTGCATACTATTTGGATTTTTATAATACGGTTCAAATCTCCTCACATCACCAACAATCCATAAGTAGCCCAGTGGGAGAATAAACTTCAACCGATGAGTGAAACTTCCATCTGAGAATAAGTCGTTGCTCAAGGACCCAGTCAACACGTGTGACCGCGTGATTTGGATCCCGTGATTGAAGGATGAGCGGGGCTATATCTTGTTTAAGTGCGAGTTAATCACACTGCTGATCAGCCGCTCGTGGCCGAACGGATAAGTGTCCAAACTGCTGGCCAGGAGGTCGCAGGTTCGAGACTCTCCAGAGTTTCGTGAGATGCACACTGCTGATGATTCCCAATAAGGATGAAGCATAGAGTTAATTCACTTACAGGACGAACTCTTCACAAAACCCTAATCTCTTCACACTACCAACAGTACGACCACCTTCTTAATACGACTGAATTTGTTAACCTCGGTGGGGATCTCACAAGATTAGGGGCGAGTTGTATTAACCTGCAGTTGAACCGTTGGATCGTTCCCATTTAGGCCTGCAAATGACCTTGAATGAGACGAAAACGTATCTACTGCTCAAATTCTCTTGAGGAAATTCATATATATCCAAATCGTTTCTTGATAGTATGTTTTGGAAATTTCAGTAGAAATGTGTCCTGTAAGTGAAGTCAAGCAAAGCAGAAGCACTGCACGACTGTTTCACCTCTAGCTGGAATTGACAGCGAGGCGCACCTCCCGAATCTTTAGAGCGATTCAGACCTGCGACATTTCTACTAGTGAAAGGAAGAAGGCCTTCTCTGCGAAGTTATTTATTAGAAAATGCCAACTGACCGGTTACCGACCATTGGATAGGGAAGCAAAACTCTCATTTGCATCTTTTTTACAAAAATTGGACATCCATCTTCTCCCGATCGCGTCTTTTCGAAATTTCCTGGATATTCATTAACTCCAATCATTCATCGCTCAATTCCAAGTAAGTGTTACAACGCGAATCCACAAATTCCGCAACAGATCTCCACTTCTCAAGAGACGCAAAGCGAAATTCCACGAACAACACATACTACCCGCGTGCCTCCCCATCAGAAGTATCACCGTTACACTAGTAGTTGCAGTTGCTGATAGTGTGAGGAGATTCGAGAATTTCGATAGAGATTTCATGCTGTGCTTCTCAGCTTTTTAAGTATAGATTGGCTTCACTTACAGGACGGAATCTCCACCAAAGCAGCTGTAGTCCGACCAATCAAGAAGTGATCTTTAGATTGACCTATGAGTGGCACTATGTGCTCTCCAAGTGACAGCCGACATTTTGCGGGATCCAATCTGCCTGAAAATTCGTAATCTACGCATTGCTGGTGAATTCTAATGGACAAGCAGCTGTACCGTGTTCCTCGGGTTTTCGGCACGGAGGGACTTCATCTTACAGCGGAAAATCTTGATTGAAGTTGTTTCTTCCTTATCATGCTGGAGGCTTGGTACTGCAGCTGACAGTATTGAACAAGGCAAACCGACTCAGACAAATCAACCGTTATTTCCAGGTACAATAATCCGTGCGTGTGGCTATCGATCGACTGACAGGCATGCGTGATAAGTTGTGATTGATGCGGGTTTGTTCCGAAAATCAGCCCATTTGTGCGTTACGCGAAACCCTTCATGAATTTCCTGGTATTTACGACCTCTTGACAGGCAAGTATTTGCTTACAGACGAACAAGAAGAAGAAAGGAGCTATAAATGTCTCAGAAAATCATGCGGCACCGGATAGAAATCGATCGTTAGCAAGCGGAAATGAAGTACTTGGATCAATATATAGACATACGAATGCTGAGTAGGAGGAACAATGGCGATCGATCCCACAAATTCCGCGGCTAAACTAATCGGACAAAATGTAAGTTCGATGTGAACGCCCTCTCTTGAATAGTCACTTGTCGTGTGCTTCGTAATGTGGGATGTGACCCGATTGAAATTGTAGTTTGCTTCACAGCTAGACAAGGGAGATAATCCACGCTTGCGCGCGCATCTCTACCCTCGAGGTTGAGGACAGCAAACACAAGCAGAACAACACAAGTTTGTATTGTTTGCATGTCAACTGGGGTCAGGAGAATTATGATTAATCACAGTCGAGGTCACGCCATCAAGACAGTGCAACCGGGAAAAGGATGCGCGGACTTATCGCTCATAAGGTCTCGAACAGATAAGGAATTTGTGACAAAAGCCTTGATAACCTGCGTTTTCTTCCCCAACCGTCAGTATCTGTAGGCTTATCCATATGGCTAACCGGTGCAAAAATAGCAGAAATGATAGCCATGATAAGAATCGACTTCAGAAGCGATAGGACGATGTAATATTTGGGGAAACGGGCTGGACAATTTCGGATTTCAATTCTATCGACCTAGGGGATCTGACTGCAGACTTTATGACAGATAGCAAATTAGCATTGGAAGGTGATGCCGAGGGGCTTCATGGCTGATAAGCTGATGAAAAACAAACGTTGACAAGAACATTAATTCACTCGAGGAGGTCTACTTCCAACAAACATGATAGATGCACACACACAGACGGCTTGGCATATATCTAATCGTGTCGACTGGGACAGCAGGCAACACTACAGCGTCTGAGTCAGAGATATCCCGCTTATGGGCCAGTTACGCTGAGATTCAAGCACGTGATCGGTAGGAATACGGGCACGCTTTGATTTGTCATTCGCACAGCACAAAGGCTCCGCTCTCTTGTCAGAGCGGAGATGGAACCGGTGAGACATGTACATCCAACGTTACAGGAACCTTTTGTTCGCCAGTCAGTCAAAATCGGTGATGATAAATTCCGTCTGAAAGTTAAAATTCTTTGTCTGCTTGCGCAAAGGATACATTACAGACAGGAGGAATGTTGGTGTTCAGGTAGAATGGATTGTTGGACAAGATAGATACGAAAATACGAACAGCTAAAAATCATCCTTTCCCTTGTTCAGTGAGGTCCGTAAAATGCAAAACATGTAACAGATGAATCTGGCTCTGGGAGTTTATTTGGCGTGATCATCCAGCGCTCTAGCCGCATTCAGAACATGCATCAAACTGAATAAGCCGAGTAGAGCTCAATGCCCATCCAGTGAGACCGTTCTATGGCCGCTAGCGAGCCAGATTTCTGGGCACACTAAGCCCATTAGTGGGGCCTATTCAACAACACAACCTCAGTGTTCTATCATTCAATCCGACAGCTTTGAACTCAAAAAAAGCGTGGAAGTTAAGGCGCGAGTTACATGACCGAAAATTCGCTGTTTATTTGCGCTGTCACGAACTGCCACGCATTAGTTTGTAACAAGTTGAAACTATATCACAGATGACTTGTGTCAATTCGTTAGCGAAGACCGTTTATGAGACGTCACAGGGCATTAGCACCCTTACGCATACCACGGACGTATATGGATCAGCGACTGCTGTTAACTCCAGGGGCTGGTTTCTTTGCCGTATCGGTCACATCCAGGTAGACTACTTTGAGAGATGGACCAGCCTAGACAACGATGATGTAAAGGAAGATCGGATCAGGTGAGCACAGATTCCGCAGACGAATTGGGCAGGGCCAACCTTATAGTTCGATGACGATGCTGATACACACGAATAACAACTGAGGGAGATTGATCCCATTACTGATTCATAATATTAATCCCGTCCATCTGCCAAGTGTAGCATAGCAAGGAAACAAATCACCAAAAAAGTTAGTCAACACTTCACAGGACTTAACGATGAAGTTGAAAGAAATCCAGTTGAGATCAAAAAATAGTGCAAAGCAAATCGCATACGGTCATTACCGAAGTATCATAGAGGAATCTCTGCATCATGATCACTTAAGGGTACAGAGAACACACGCTAAGGTAGCCTAGACCGATGCAGTTTCAACTCCTGTTCAGACATGATAGCACCACCGGTTAGTGCTCACTTCCTTATCTTCGGGACAAAACACTTATTCCTCCAGAAAAGTCGTCCATTATCCACTTATGGCGCTATCCACTTATCCACGCTATGTCCCGAGGAAAGACACTGTGTACTTTTACCAACAGATAAGCCTGCCTTGTAATGTCTCGCGATGCTGGTGTTTACACAATATACACTCATCACAGATATCTCCAGGCCCTATTTTACGTCGTATATATACACCATAGAATCATTTAATCGAATCTTAGCCGTGCGTTTCTTTACAGTACCCAGTATAAAGAGTAAAAGATATTTTCTATAGAGGATAAGATAAGGATAAAAGATGTGCTAACTGATTCAATGCTCTCCCACGAAATTCAATACTTACCTATCACGTGAAGGTGGGGCGAGTATGCAAGGAAACGTGGGATTGCCAAACTCATGTTCGCTTTTCTCCTCAGATGAAGCAAACTGCTCATCGTGAACTTTTACTACTTCCACAACCATAGTCGAATAGCTCAGGTGAGGCGATCAGCGCAGCAAACGTCGACAGAAATGCCGTGAATGGCGGTTTCCCGTCACACCGGACACACCCAAGGATATCAGCAGAGCATCGAACGGCTTGCATCCTACGCCAGCAGTCATTGGTCGAGTGTTGCGTGACCTTGAATATACTGAAGCTACCTGATTGGCTTAGCCACCTCATGCAGCAGCAAGCACCTACTTGCTCAGCGTAGTGACTTAGGCCACGAGAAACTAACGCCTTATAAGTGGAAGCACGCAGCCATGACAGCCCCAAAGATGCCTGCTGTCGTTCCATCTCTAGGGCTTGACGGTACACTGATCGGTATTTTAGCAAGGCATCAGTAGCGCAAAAAGCAGTGGCACAGAGGAAGAATAATTTCGCAAGATGAATCGAACTTCCATCTAGGAAGTCGTCACTCGGAGAGCCAATCAATACGTGACACGTGATGTGGTTACTGCAACTGAAAGCTGAGCTGTTCAGCCTCTCGAGGCTGAATTTCGTGAAATTCGCACTTCTGGTAATCCCCGGTCGTCATGAAACAAATGTACAGATCTTCTCGACTTTTCGGTATAGATTCGCTTCATTAGTGGGACGAAATTTCACTACAAGGCGTCGAAAACATTTGAGCCCTATTGAAGGAGGGCACTTTTTCGTACGAGAGTCTTGACTTCTAGGCCTCCAGTTCCAGGTATTAGTGATCCAGATGAACAAGACCCAACATTTCAGTAGGACTATTTCGCTCGTTTCGTGAATTTGTTGGCCAACTGTAACTCATCAAGTCCGGTTACTTCCTTTTCTTTCCCCACAAATATTTCCCGAATTTGATGGAGCCGTGTTACTTGAGTGGCTTGAACAACTTGGTTTTATATTTTTGGTGTGGCTAGAAAAGCGTACCTCCTGGTCAATTTATCACCGGTCCAGCACACACAGTATGCGTTCTGAAGGACGGAAAACGTTATCTTCCTTCTACCCGCCGTCACGTGATGAAGTTTCCGCTTAATATTGTAGTAAAACAGACTCAGTTGTACCAAGTTGTCCCACAGCAAAACTTCTGACTGTCTGATATCTAGGTCACCTCATCTGATAAGCCCAAGTTTAATCCAAATGCTGTTCGATATTTCAACGAGCTGAAGCGCAGACGGGATGTTTGAGACAGTGGCCGCATAGCACTCCGGAGGGCGATCCTTGTGAATTTGTGTAAACCTACTGGTATTTGATGTGATGTACTGATTGGTTGCTTCAAGGCACGCTATGAATTGTGCCATAACACATCAGTGCCTAAATTACACATTGCGTTGTATTGGCTAGCATAGGGCTACGTTTTTCGCAAATTTTGCTGGGAAAATTACCCAATGGATATCCATTTAAACCCTCGTTTTCTGAAGTACAGCCGTTACTTCTAGTTTGCTACAATGACTCCGCTGCGATCGATCACCGACCCACTCATCGACGGGTTGTTAAATTTCATGTACTTGTGAGCTGAGAACAGTTACGGAGCCATTTAAAATTCACGCAGCTTTGAGATTGACCAGTACTACTAACATTGGATAGTAGTACATTCGTGCGTTCTTCTCCTTATATGGGATTTACCCTCTGGTAATCAGAATCAGAAGTTGTACTCATCGTTTTTCTCAGTCACACCCTCGAGGCGGTCACTGGAGTTGAAATCAGTCCAGTGAAGTGATGCGATGCCTTGATGGTTTTCGACGCATCCTTCTTTGTGTCGTGCCTGCATAAAATCAGGCTTCCGGTAAAATCATTGAACCGAGAATGACAGATGATGTGTGATTATCAGTGTTTAGAAGTCATTGGCCATCCGAATAGCGCTGAAGGCGAAAAGATTTTACCCGCTAAACAAATTTGAACAGGGAAGTCGTGCTAGGTGATTAGGCGCCAGTGCACATTATCCGTAACCTGTGTTGTGCGAGTGGATATCAACACGATGATCCACGTATGATAGAAACGGGCTGATGCCTTTTTTCTCTATATGTAACTTACTGCCTATAAGGTTGATGAAAGCCCTTCGACAACCTCCTAATGATTATGCCATTCATGAGACTCATGAGAAAGGCGTCTCTACCAACCCTATGTTCCACCTATAGTTTGTTTACACATCTGGATTGGCTAGAGACCGCTGAATAGTGATCAACAATACGTTTGACGGTACATTTGCATAACGTGCTTGAACAGAGAATCCTTTGTGTGGTCAACGTGAAAGTCTATTGAGTTGATATAAAGAAAAAAACAAAGACTGAGGGAGAGTTCAAGCCAGTTTTGTGTTTGCTTGGTTCGAAAAAAGTCGGATGTTGACAAGTTCGGACGGTCAGCTGACCAGATGACGGTGTGCACGAAAGTACACCGAACACGGGGCTAAGCCACATGTTCAAACGTGTTCACCTCCTGAATTTTCCTCTCTTCCCTTGTCAGTTGGGTTAGGTTCCAAGATAAATTTGAGTCCGTTTGTAACCCTGATCGCACAAAGTATCTGATAAGACGGTTGAAGCATCACACAACGTGAGCGTTAAGTACGTTCTGTCAAGCCGCGAGTCTCAACCAGTACTACGAACTTCTCAAAGGGACATGGTTAGCGAAATATTCGAACAACGGAAAGCTACTAAGAGATCTGAGTGACATAAGTTAGGTGCCAAATGGCTGACAATGCAAACTGCAACGATCGATGTCAAGAAGCTCTTTTCTGCCCGAAGCATGTAGTTCATCTGAGCCCACCAGAGATGCTCTAATCAGAAGCGGCTATATCCAGCAGAATATGTTATTCGAACATCAAGCAGTTCACCCGAAAGGAACTGAGGACTGTGCTGAGACGCTAAGCAAAATGGTTTAATAGCAAGTCTAGCAATAGCAAAGGATATTCCGAACATAAAGGTGTGTTTATACTTACTCAACTGAAGTTTACGAACTGAGGCAGCGCCTTGCGGTGGAAACTTAGCCCTATTCAAGGTTAATACGTCAACATATCTATCTGGTGCGGCTCTGGATCCAATAACCTTATTAAAAATTCCGTCGGGTGAGCCATACAATATATCATATGTGCCTAATCTTATCGTCTTTGTGGGTTACTGAAGAAGAACATAAGTAAACGATGATTTACAGATTCACCTCTCCATTTTCTGACAGCATCTGTGGGGAGAAACTGTAGCATCTTCGCTGACCTGAATACTACTCACGTGACTTCAAAATAACAGGATGGCCCAACCAAATGTGCGACTACGGAAAACTGACAGGCTCTTTGTGAAATCGACCTTGTCACTGCTTCTTAATTCCGATTTGAACGGACTTGGGCAATCTGATTCACAATCTCCCGTCAGAACAAGGGTGTGATTCAGCACCTCAAATCGAAGTAACAGCTCATCTGGTTCCATCTGGTCCAGCATCTAAGGGTGAAAAATGATCTTGACCTCGATGTCCTAGGTTAATCAAAACGAGAATTTCTTACTACGTAGATGACTGCCGTTTTGACAACATACCATGTTCGCTTGACCCACTCGAAACTGTCGTCTCCAGAAAAACCATCAACTCGATTGAATTGGCCCCTTTATTAATTTCGTCAGGGAACAGGTTTGCGATTTATGGAGAACAAAACACACTCGCGTTTTGTGTGTTGCATGGGATCTCGACAAAATTTCTCTCTACAAGGCTTAATTTGCCAACATTCTGAAAAGGCAGCACTCATGAGAGGTTGTGCCCTAAAGGAAAACTGCATTTAACACAGTGTCCTTTGCAATCGAAAGGCAAACTCAGTCCTTGGTACAGACATGATCGGTCATCTCGAAATCCTGGTCTAAACTGTGCTGATATTACTCTGTTGCAGGGCAGTCGCAGTAAAATAAGGCAAAGTAATATACTACTCATAAGGTCGCTGAAAACTCTTTGACAGCCCACGACTAGTTTCACCACTTTTGGGGCTTATCAGGTGGGTGCAATCCCTGAATGTCCGTCAACTTTATGTTCTACCTAAACTCGAATTACACGAAATTAGTGAAATACACTTATTTGCATAACAATTTGGTATTGACGGGAGACTCACCTGGAACCCAGCTGAATCTCTGGTTCATGATGTTTCTGGTAAGTCTCCTGTCAAAACCAAATTTATTTCCAAATGAGTGTATTTTATTAGGGTCGGATCCTGATAGCTCACAATGGGAGTGAGTAACTTCAGCAATCCCGAGATAACGCGATAGATGCCTATGTCCCCCAAAGTGATACTGACTCGCACTTCTGAATGACAACCGGTGGTATTCGCTCACCAAGGTTACTGCATCAAGGTACTCTAACCAGACTTTGTTACTTTTTATTAGTATTGTTATTATGTAAAAGTACAATATTTCCGTCAGGTGAAGAAAACATTTCGTCATTTCCATCTCATCTCGTTCAGCGGCAGTGGTTCGGGCGCCTGTTGCGCAAAAACCATACCAAAACAAACCCTGGACCCATCAGACCATCTCAAGGATTGAGGAGAGCTGCTGAAAAACCCGGCCGGGTACGGCCAAGGGTGGTATGGTTCCCATGTGGTTTTCAAAGTCTATCACCGGAGCCGAGAAAGAAATAATCACAAAAATAGTTCCTCCAAAAGTTTTTAGGGAGAATCTCATTGGAAAATCCTGAAGTACCTTCCTCTTTCGGAGTGATTCTTAAGTAAGTGTATCTTATGAAAGAAATGACTGGTATTGACTGGTGTAATTGACGTGTTAGGCGGATTTGCAAACAAAAATGTATTTCAAGGAAGGCATGACCTTCTAACATAATTCAAAGTCTGCAACTGGCAAGTTCCAGTGATGTTCCAGTGGTAGAATCATGGATGCGTGACTCTGTCTTACTGCTCGCGGATGATATTCATGCTTCTGACTGCAAAGTTGTTATAAACCGAGAAAACACGGTAGTGAACTTTCAGAGGTCAGCTGATTGACCATTAGGGTGCATTCTCTGTCTTACTGGTCTGTCTAGAAAACTCGTGTCGCTACCGAGAAAAAAATGAAACCCATTCACGAGTCTACGCACAGAGTTCTAACACATCCTTCAGCAAACAAACCAGCGTACTTACCCAGAGGTAATTGGCTTCCGGGCTATGGGCACATTATCTGGAATAAAGTCCCAATCATTTGTAGCATCGGGAGTTGTGCCTGGTCCAAGTTCCGCGAATTCCCGACTGATTTCCTGTACACACCAATTTTGCTCCTTTTAGACAGTGAGAAAAAACGTACGCCAGCCAAATAAGTGAGGTGACTGTGAACAAACAAGTAGGACAGCGAGCTTGTGAGTCAGAAATAGCAATTGGAAACGATGCAGCCAACTAGCTGTCAGTCTGGGTTTCGAAACAGCCGACTGGTTTAAGCGCCCTCGAACAGCAAACATGTGTAAGAGACGGAATGACCGTCGTCTGTAGCCTAGGCTCGTCCGATGTCGGGGATAGCTGTCACGTCTTGCTAAATAAGAAACCGAACCCATTCCCTCCTCGTATGTACTGACGAAATTAATTGTGACAGCCGGATTCAGTGGGCGCCAAGATCTGGCCAACGAAACTAATCCGGTCGCGTATGCGGTCAGCTATCCCAGATGGCTGACTGATCTGTCTGTGTTCTAACTGACCACTGGTCAGTTGTTGTCCCTACAGTTTTTAGTTTAAATGATCCCTCTGGTTGACAGTCCTATGACATGAAACTCTAGTTTATACAAAGCAAAAAAGTTCTGTTTTCGATTCATGCAAACTTGATCTAAAAAGCCCGACAAGACAAGGCCACAGATTAATAGACCAACATATCCTCACGAGCAGCCATGTTGATCACCAGAAGCTTGTTTATTAGGTAGGAGCTCAACGAAACGAAAGGATGACGATATGCTGGTATGTTTGCGTCCCGAAGACAGTAAATGCGAAATACGCCGCTGAGGAACATCATACCTGAACCCAATCCACTTAATGAACAAAGAGTAGGACAAATTCATTGCAAAGAATGTCACACCAGACCAAATATCACTTGACTTGGATGGTTCAAAAAACCAGATTTCCACCATAGAGTGGAAGTGTCACAAATCAGATCCGGGTAGTTCATGGCATACCCTGTCGCCGCGTAAACCCCGACTCTCACACTGTCCAGTTTCACTTCGCCACAAATGTTTTTCCTGTTCCGCTCACCAAATCAACTTTCACAACGTTTTGATGGACTGGCTATCTTTTTTACGCCAAAAGCTCTCGGCCTGTTTCCAAGGCATGTGGACTAATTTCTCAAGGTAGCGTGATACGGCAAATCTTAGTGATTTCATCGCGATCCCACGATGATCGGACAATCTCAACGGTGCCTCATGGGGCTCACAGATTCTGGTGGAAAAATCAATTATGCCAACCTCCCCCTTCAGAGTGTACTTCAACTAGTACGCTTTATAATACCTATTGGGTCACACCGATTAGTAACGTGAAAGTAACCGGGACATCTTAACGTGATAGAAGGGTCTCGGTGTTCCGTGTTTCAACCGGAGCCTACAGAATCTACTTGTTTGGACTTTCTCAATATGGGACGATGCATTTCGGTACTTTCTTTTGTTCCAATTACGAGGTCCTTGGTCCGAACCCGGGGAAAGAAGAAAGGAGCTTACACACTACGTCCACCAAGGTTCACATGAAGCTGATCTCTGATAGTACAAAACCACACTAAAATCGATCATTCAGAGAGATATCGGTTGAAGGGCCAAAGAGCTTGCCAGTAAGGGGCTTTGCAGTATGCAGTCATCAAAAAAATATTTTACGTAACGTCGAAAGAAATATTTGAGAATTCGTAATTTTAAATAAGGTAGCTTTTTATTCCGGTGCTACAAGAACGTTTATTTATAAGGTGATTTTCATTACCTTCCCTGTCCTAATAGAAGGGACCACAACAGCGAGCAGAAGTTCGTTGAAGTAGCCTGCCTGACTGGTTGGGTGTGGCAGAAAAGAAATATGACCACGGTTTCTCCCTAGCTGTGGAAGTGTCAACTCTAAAAACCACTCGTGCACCTAGCATACTCATTAATGAATCATCTTGAATTACTATTTCAACGATATAAACTGTTACCTACATAACTGACAAATGCAACTTCATTCTACTTTGAAAACATCCATGGCCGGTGATCATGTATCATCGAAAACCAAACTTCTTTTTGCCAACCACCTAGATGTTGCATCAATCAAGAAATTCTATAAACTTGAACTTGGCAGTGCTCAAGTTAATTCCCAAAACCAAAAAAAACTGGAGAAGTGTCGTGTTGTTGCCAGGTCATCGGAGGGTGTCGCAAAGGTTGAGATGGGATCCCAGGGGTGAACGAGACCGCAGCGCTAAAAACTTAGAAAATCCGGTCGAAAAAATGCAGCTGATCTACACGTCCGAAATCAGCCAGCTTTACCTTCGTCGCATCAAGTCGTACGTATGTGCCAGTTAGTGTGGTGGATGAACGACGAGTGAATATTGTGTCTGAAGATCGCAGGCCCCAAGTGACAGCATAGTGACAGTTCACAGTGAACAAATCTACGTATCATCAAATGAAATCAGTCACTCTGAAATTTTCAAACATATCAGGAAGGTGAGATTCCTGAAATCAACTTCTGAACGCCCGGAACCTACCGCTCCACCAAAAGCTCAACTGGACAGCCTGATGAGTGTTCTCTGCGCCACAGAAGCACGACCGAATGTGATCAGCATTCAGGCTTTTCACAGAGACACGATCGATGTTGATGGGTGATCACTAACGCCTATCAGACAGCCTGGATCAATGTCAGAAAGTCCCCCTTAAATAGCGTGCGGCCGTTGTAACTTTTGCACTCGCTCTCGCTCTCTCACTCACTCGCTTGTTCGGAATACAGCTGTTGTGTTCCCTTCTGTGAGTCTTTTCTCTCCGACACTAGGCACTGGAGCGGGTCAGCTGCAGATACCTCAGATTGACGAATCAGAAGATATAACAAAACATGACCTCTGGCGGAAACAGTCACGGTCACCGGCTCAAACTATCACATCCAGTTTCATGCACATCAGGCTTGTGTACTAACAGGAAAGGTTTTCCATATCATCTCAATGTGAGACACTACTCATGAGGTTGCTGAAAACGGTTGGACCGCTCACTTCCGATTTCGCCCTTCTTGAAACCCATAAGATGGGGTATACCCAGTGTTTTCATCAATATTATGTTTTTCATAATATATATAGTATAATATATATAATAACATACGATGATATTCATAATATGTAGTATGTATAATTTATACATATAATATACAACATATAATAATATAATATACAATAACACTATCTGGTTGCTTCTTTTACCCATTCATTGTTGTTGTCCCGGGTTATTTAAAGTTCTAAGCCGTTCACTTGGGGCAAACGCAGACAGGATACTATGTATGCATAGACCGATAGAAATATATAGGCTTGACGCCAAAGTCCGAAACCTCTGTGGGTGGAGATGTACTACAGTTAGTGAGAAACATTCGGTTTACTAATAGACTGTTGGGATTAGGTTGAAGTGTGCGAAGAATAGTTCTCTGAGCACGAACCAAACAGATCGGCTGGGACTGATTTGACAGAAATGCAAACTCATAAAGGAGAGGAACGGAGTAGACCGAATCCAACCGAGAGGAAACTGTGTGAAACTTTGACCGACCAGACGATACAGTTCTGGGATGTGTGAACTTAAAAGCCCGCATTATCGGGTATGAGAGAAATTATTCGCCCAGAACAAAGGAAGATGTGACTCACTCGCAGTCCATTGGCCATTCTTCCGTGAGGTCCATTCTCCACAGGCGGATGTTCATGTATACTGTCTTCGCCTACAAAAAGAGAAAACAAATGAGTGGATAATGGATATATAGCTGTCTATGCTGACCGTTTTGTAGAGTAGACATTTTAAGTGGAACACTCCCAGCTGTCTGAAGCCAAGGGATTTCAGTGACACAACGTGGGACTTGACGTCAGGTTAGATCACCGGTCTCATTACCCTACAGACAGCGAAAAAGCATAATATAATTTTGGCTAAATTTCGCCAACGTGGGAACGTCAGGTTAGATCACCGGTCTCATTACCCTACAGACAGCGAAAAAGCATAATATAATTTTGGCTAAATTTCGCTTGTGACTAATCTAATAAAACCGTCCACAATACGGTCCACGGTATTTCCAACGATCTGGTATCATATGTTCTGATATCGTATGGAAAAGAAGTGAGTTCATCAGGTTGGATTAGCCCCAAACCCACATGACCTAAATCAACTCGTGGAGAGGATAGGGATACCACTTATTTACCTAAGCGAGTGCATTCAGAGCCAGGAATATGCTCAAACATGGCACTTTCGCACAGTACCTAGCGCTCTAACCTCTGAGCCACCGTCCGCTGAGCAGTGATCACAGCTTTCCTTCCAGTGAGAGAAATACCCCCTTGGCCTCTTCTGAGGCTGGCCTACCTTTAGGGAAAATTTGATTGCTCTGGTCTTCTCATGAGCAGGACTACGCTTCGGACGAGCCTCATCTGGGGGCCGACCAATTATCATTTTCAGTCCAACACTACCGACTTCTGCTCAGGAAGTAGTTATACAAATTTGAGGGTCCAAGGACCGTGTAAACAAAACTTCATAAGATTGAGAATAAGCCCAGGCGTGGTAGCACTTCTGATCAGCTGATCAGCAGCTTCCTACAAATGCATTCAGGTGATCAGATGCACTTATACCGAGCTATTTGCCACTGGGTATGCTTACTTAGTTTCCATGAGAGCTGGAGATGATAGCTTGAACTGCTGACTGTTCACCCCTGACTTGTCAATTACCCTTGTACAGATTTGACGGGATCTTGAACTCTGAAGCTCATTCACGTTGCAATTACTTACCGAATGAATGTTCGATTCAGTTGGTCTACACGTTTTTCACTCCAATTCCGGGAATAATTAACATTACGGACTTATCAACAAAAAGCTGGCTCTTGGAGGACAGGAACCTTAATGAAAAAGATGAAGGGTTCGAATGTTACTACCAATACTTCAAGGGGGGAATCCAAGAAAGCGAAACCAATCTCGTGTGCGCAATCCTCAAAGCCTCAACAAAACTGGCGGTGAGAATTCGTCTTGAAAGCGACTCACCAGACATGGTGGACATTTTGTCCAGGGCACTCCGACTAAACCCATTTGTACCATGATAGGCTGGCCGGAAAGCTAAGTGAGAACCGTGTGATCCCTGTGAGTATCGGTTGGTTTGCGTCAGACCGGCGGAACGGGAGAACAGTGGTGAGGACGGAACGATAGTGTAGTCCGGTTCAACTGGAACAGAACGGATAGAAGAGGGTGGGAGAAGTCGCAGTATATTTTCATGGAGGAAACTACTCACAAGGTTGCTGAAAACTCTTCGACAGCTCACGACCGGTTTCGCCCTTCTTAGGGCTCATCAGGTAAGCGCAGTTCCCGAGTTTCCGTCAACTTTATTATCTACGTGAACCTGGGAGAGGCTTTATTTCACGGTCAATAAGTCTAGACAAACTGGTTGTCGTCATACGCTAGGTGTAGACAGCAAGTCCTTGTCTCCTGAAGCATAAAAAGAGCTATGTTGTGGCAATCGTCCGTGTAACCGTCGCCGGCTAAAGCGCCAACTATTAGTGGAACCAGAGTAGTTGCTGAATGTCTCGAGTTCACCCCCTAGCACTCCACAAGTGGAAAACCGAATTACACCAAGGATGAATGGTTGAATAAAAGTTGTGCAGAACACAGCGTCAAAGTAGCGTCGTTTAATGCTTGATAGTTCGGTCACCAGAATGCGTCTTTTCAAAAGTGAAATACTTAGTGTTTCAAAAAAAACAAGGCGGCTGGTAGAAATAGACTGTCGGCTCGGTTGACGCATGCCGATCGAGTATGATACACCAGACACCGCACAAAATCTATCTGAATGTAATGAGAGGCCCGTTTGAATTGGCTGAGCCTGGTCAAACATTGGTTCTCTGCTGTAGTATGCATGAGAACATTCACCCATTTTTTGAACCTGCTTTGAATATTTTTGGGGGCGCAAGAGAAAACACTGTTGCCTATGTAAGTGGCTTTATGGTCCCCACGCTACTACCTGAGGAAATCGCGTAAATTTGGGCAGAACTGGTGCTTTTTGTTGGCGAAATACACTCATTCGCAAACAAATTTGGTTTTGCGAGAGACTCCACTGTAACCCAACTGAATCTTTCGTTTGTAATGTTTTATATATTCTATTATCTGTGATAAGAACAGTAAGTACGTTGAACACACATGAAAGAAACCTCACGAACACATTTGGAGGTATCTTTCAAGCAGATTCTGAATGTTGATCAGAACTCACCGACCAGTTTTGCTCTATTATGGGGTCTAGTGTATCAGACGTAATTTTCGAGTTTTCATTGCATTTCCGCCTTTCACTTACGAGCCAGTTGTTGTGTCAGCAGAATAGACTACCTGTTTGCAAGATAAACTTATATGAAGTCCTCGTATGGAACCGAGTCTTTCGCCTTGATCTCCTTCAACATATTACAGTGGATACCGGATTTCCTTGTGTCTCAGCTGGATCATTCTCATTCCCCAAAACATATGCCTTCGGCTTGTTCGAATGCACTAGTGATAGAATCAAGATCACCGGTGTATCCACCTGACCATTTGTTTCGGGAATCTACTGTCGTTGTACTTTTATCCGTCAATGTGTTTAGTGCTGTGTCGATTTCCTCTCTGCATTGTTAGCTGTAAGTTTCGTAGTAATGGGCATGATAAAGTACCCTCGGTCAAATGAGTAACTTGTGACCTTTCTCTTACTTATTGAATCGGTGAACAGGATTGAATCCATCACATTCGAAGATAAATGATGGTTTGGTTGGATGCTGGTGATCTAGATCTTGAGCCCGGCTCCAAATGAACGATCATCTTTTAGCTATTAGCGACGGGTGACTGACTCACCTGGAACACAAGTGAATCTCATGCCCCTAGGCAACTCATTGCGTTGCACCAGTCCGCCGCATGTTTCAGTTGGTACCATATTTGAAATATCGCGATACATTGTATAGGCGTAATGCACTACTCCAGAAGGGTGAAACCAGTAATAAAAAAGAAGTACACTCATTTGCAAACAAATTCGGTTTTGTGGGAGACTCATCTGGAACCCAGCTAAATCACTCGCTTATGATGTTTTTAAGCAGCTGAATATGCTGCACCAGGCCGCCCCATGTTTCAGTTGGCACGATATTTGAAATGTCGCGGTACATTGTTCACTGAAGAAGAGTGAAATCAGTCGTTGGCTGTCGAACAGTTTTCAGCAACCTTATAAGTAGTGTATTTCATCTGTTACATACATTCTAAATTTTGTTTTAAAACTGAATATGTTTACATACAGTGCCAAAGTAGAGATCGTTTATCCGAAAACGACCAGCAGTCCACTAGAACACATAGCATGGTATCATTAGTATTATACACTTCAGGCATACCAAATGAGAAACATCTCAGCGGAATTCGCTTTCTATGAGCTACTGTGTCGGTTGCCACATCTCCTTTACAGATCAGATACATCCTGGCGTATTCGGATAATACTCACATGAGAGATAAAAGAGTGAATTCAAACGTCACCAATAGCGAACATTAGCTGTGACCAATTTATGGTGATGCCAACAGACCGATCTGCCCGTTAATTAATAAGGAAATTCAGTGTTACACTCGCGCCAGTCAGATAATGGCCCCAATTCGATCGATGATAACATTGGTGAAGACGCATGCACAAAAGGATAATTACTTCATTCGGATAGCATGACAGCACCAATACAAACAAGCCGAAGAACATCCTGGCGAAAACTGGGGGAGGGTTAATTCACTTCGTACGCAAGAGGACAACTGATATGCCCACAACTTCAACAGGTAAGGCCGATAAAAGTGCCTCTGTATCATTGTGTCTCAGTTTTATCAACTGAAAACACACGATTGATTGGAAGGCAGGACTATACGGGGACAGCGTGTCATACTTTCTACCATGACCTGACGGGTAAAATATTCGAGGACTATACATCTTTGTTCCAAATGACTAGTGTGAACCGGGTGAACAAGAATATTAGGTAGCTTCCGACCTTAACTGAACCTTAGACACAGTCATCTAAATTTCACATAAGGTCGAATTCAAGATCTGTCTGTCTAAGGGTGAAACCAGTAATAAAAAAGAAGTACACTCATTTGCAAACAAATTCGGTTTTGTGGGAGACTCATCTGGAACCCAGCTAAATCACTCGCTTATGATGTTTTTAAGCAGCTGAATATGCTGCACCAGGCCGCCCCATGTTTCAGTTGGCACGATATTTGAAATGTCGCGGTACATTGTTCACTGAAGAAGAGTGAAATCAGTCGTTGGCTGTCGAACAGTTTTCAGCAACCTTATAAGTAGTGTATTTCATCTGTTACATACATTCTAAATTTTGTTTTAAAACTGAATATGTTTACATACAGTGCCAAAGTAGAGATCGTTTATCCGAAAACGACCAGCAGTCCACTAGAACACATAGCATGGTATCATTAGTATTATACACTTCAGGCATACCAAATGAGAATCATCTCAGCGGAATTCGCGTTCTATGAGCTACTATGTCCGTTGCCACATCTCCTTTACAGATCAGATACATCCTGGCGTATTCGGATAATACTCACATGAGAGATAAAAGAGTGAATTCAAACGTCACCAATAGCGAACATTAGCTGTGACCAATTTATGGTGATGCCAACAGACCGATCTGCCCGTTAATTAATAAGGAAATTCAGTGTTACACTCGCGCCAGTCAGATAATGGCCCCAATTCGATCGATGATAACATTGGTGAAGACGCATGCACAAAAGGATAATTACTTCATTCGGATAGCATGACAGCACCAATACAAACAAGCCGAAGAACATCCTGGCGAAAACTGGGGGAGGGTTAATTCACTTCGTACGCAAGAGGACAACTGATATGCCCACAACTTCAACAGGTAAGGCCGATAAAAGTGCCTCTGTATCATTGTGTCTCAGTTTTATCAACTGAAAACACACGATTGATTGGAAGGCAGGACTATACGGGGACAGCGTGTCATACTTTCTACCATGACCTGACGGGTAAAATATTCGAGGACTATACATCTTTGTTCCAAATGACTAGTGTGAACCGGGTGAACAAGAATATTAGGTAGCTTCCGACCTTAACTGAACCTTAGACACAGTCATCTAAATTTCACATAAGGTCGAATTCAAGATCTGTCTGTCTGCCTATCTATCTGTCTGTCTGTCTATCCATCAATCTACCTATCTACCACCTACCTATCTATCCATCTATCTGTCTGTCTGTCTGTCCGCCCGTCTAGCTGTCTATCTGTCTGTCTGTCGCTCTGTCTGTCTGTTTATCTGTCTGTTTTACTTTGTCTGTCTGTCTGTCCGTTTATCTGTCTGTCTGTTGTCTGTCTGTCTGTCTGTCTGTCTGTCTGTCACAGCAAAGTTGGGATTCTACATTCCGCATGCATCATTCCGTTTGCGGATGACTATTTAGGTTGAGTCTTCCGGGAGAAAGTCCATACTCATTCAGACAGTTGTTTGATGATAAGAAGCTATAGGATGTTTTAGGATAATTCCTTATATATGACCTTCCGTAATCTCAAACTGACTTATACTGTCAGCTTGTCTCCTATTGTAGTGTTATATAGATGGGATCACAACACGTATCTCCGTGCTGTTCTCCGTGCAAAATCCAGAGTGGCGCAAGCAGAGTGGTAGTCAACCCTTGACCAGGTGAAGTCGATCAAGAAGAGTCTGGGTACTATGGGCGCAAATGGCCTTCCGGGATTCCGTGCGTGCATGGTTGGAGACTCTGAAATATGTAGCTGCTATCCGATGATAATGGCGTTCCTATTGTCAGTTCCTATCCAGATTGTGCAGGCGAGCGTCTGGGGATGTAGGTACCTCGGAGAGATTGTGGTAAGGCTTCCAAATAAATTATGGTTGTACGGCATATAAGGATGCAACGCCTTCAAGAAATATGATCTGGATACCATTTTTCTGGCTTAGATCAATATTCTGACGAGGGCAATCCACAATCAGGACTTGATAATGCATGAAATGTACTATAAACAAACCGCATTGTATACTACGTACACCATTATCACCGGATTTATTTTCCCCTTTTAGATGTGGTCTACCGAGACGAATATTGCATCAATAGGTTTAAGTCATCTCAATTTGTACGATAACAGATGCATTTGTGAGTTTAAAAAAACGTCCATTTGCACAGCCGACAATGTTTTCCCCCCGAAAAAACG